TTCAATTTAGACTCTACATATTTTAACTGGTTATAAATTACATTAAAGATGGGTTCCCAGAAAAGTATTTATCGGGTGGTTATTTCCAATAAAAGTATGGCAATTTTGGTATATATGGAAAGTAGAGATATCCAATCTTACTAGAAAAATACTGGATTCCCCGAAAAACATTCATGGAGCGTATACAGGACAAAAATTTAAGGGTTCCCCTAATCAACAGCCCAACGATTAGGAACTTCTGCACACGTGATGTCAAAGGTCACAAGCGAACATTGAGCGCTTGATGTACAAGTTGATAAACTTTATGAAGAGTTAGACGTACAATACTTTCTGAGATAAAAATGACGGAAAATTTTGCAAGGACAGAAGAACTGCAACCTATTCTTATATCAAATTCCAACTGCCACGGGATCTTTTACGTACATGCCAATGTACCCGAGACCTTGTTTTTTTGTCCCATCCGAAAGACTTGACATCCTTTGCCAGGCCATCAGCTATCCTGCACCACTGAAAAGGGGGACCCGGCATACAGAGATATGTTGCCTAAACTATAAGTTTATAATAATAATAATTCGTTCCTAACAGTGGGTCATCAAAGGTAGGCCTATTTTATACATTTAACTAAATCAAAAGATGCTCCAATCATACCTAAAACAAAATATCGTTTTGACTTGGCACGTGGGCAGGAATTGCTGCGTAATCACTGAGTGACTGAGTTAGAAATGTTTATTAAAATTTGAGACTGAACATTCACTGGAGTAAGTTCAACACTGATTAGCCTTCATTTCTGACTGCGCGAGTCACACTAAGAAGATTTTGAACGCGGATATCATAAGATTACCTTTAGAAAATGTTTGGTTGTTGAATCGAACGACTGAGTCAGTGAGTCAGCCGGCGAGAATTTTATGTCCTTGCCAAAAAATATATTTATCAACCATTTTGGCTAAAGAAAATTTGAGAATGACATAACATTATTAACAGGCATGCAGTTGACTGCCCTGTGACACTGATGGATAACGTTTCCCATTGACAGATTACATTTGATCAAACCTTCCCGTCTTTCTTTCGTTCAACGACTCGCCATCCATCTTTCCTCTATCAAGTTCTATCAAAAGCATGGACTTGGACTTGTCAACTTACGTCACGGAAGAAGATTATTTTAAATAAAATTAAAATAATTTTTAAAAATTCTGCTTTTACTTTTCTTTTAAATTCAGAATATTATTATTTTAGCACAAAGTAACGCTTACGCATCTTTAGAATAGTTTTTTGGTCAACCATATCCCTTTTCTATGCTGCCACTGTAAAAACGAAAACTGCAAGTACGATCGTAGCGATCGACCATGACATCATCGTAGCCATCTTGGAAATGTGATGTCATATCAAAAATCAGAAATTAAAAATCGAAATCCATCAATCGATGCGCTATTGTTCACAGAGCAAGAATGCCGAGTTTTATGTCGAACGCATGCTCGAATCGAAAGGCGCTCTTTATAAAAAGCGAAGCCCCGATTTAAAATCAAATAGATGATTTCGATCATGTGTGTGTTCATGCTTCATCAATAAAATAAGAATTATAAACTACATGTAACTCCCTTTCAGAACAAAGGCCCATACGGCTGTGGTACCCTAGCTAACCCTTTTAGTTACCAATTGACAGGGATACTGTTCTTTATAGGCCTACTACTAAACGGTCCATTATAACATGAGCTGCCAGGCAATAATTAGCCATACATAAAAAAAAACCCATCAAAACCCCTACCATTCTGGACAGAGTTTATCCCTGCAAGCACAGGCAATTAATTTTCTGTACTTATATCATCTTGTAAAAATATAATAATACCAGCAGACTTAAAGAATGTCAATTTCTACAATTAAGGAAGAAATTAGCCCTAGAAATGGGCCCGGGTTTAAAGTAGTTAAATCACAAATATTTGGTAGGCCTACCTAGAAATTAACACAAATGGGTCTCAACACATAGGCTAGTAATGTAATATGAATGTATATAAATTGATTTTCATGCAATCGTTTCTGTTTTTACTGTTTTACTGTAATTTCTAATCAGTTATTTTGGTGGAAATCTACAGTTCCCCCCAGATCAGAGGGGGGCAATGCCCCCCCCCCCCAAAAAAAAAAAAAATTTGCCAACCATAGCTCTAAAATACCTACTGTAGACTGTGCTGGGTGTGCCCCCCTAAAAACTGCCCCTCCAAAGCTCGCAAGCTGGCAACGGGCCTGGTCCCCCCCCCCCCCAAAAAAAAAAATCTGTCCAAAATATCATATTTCAAAATTAGGTTTAAGGTCCGCTTGACACAAACAAGGTCATTTGGGGACAAACATATATATGAAACCAGAGGACCAAGAGAAAACCCACAAAGTTGAACAGACGGCCATATAGTCCTTGTCACGTAGAAGTTAGGAATTGTAACCTCACCTCTTGACTCAATGACAAACCTTGTGATCTAAATTGCATGTGGTAGAACATTAATATTAAAGTAGCTAAGTCTCTAACTCAATATCATCAAAAATCTTCAAAATTCAAAACACGAATTATTTGTCAATTCAAATCAACATTGGTCTTGTAATCGATCTTACAGGGAAAAGATAGGCTTCTGATATCCAATATTTAAGACAAAATAAACATTTTACCATTGGTACAAGAATCGTGTACCATAATGCGTTTCAGTACGCCATTTGGAATAAGGGACTCAAAGAACGAGGCTAGACATATTCCACAAGTCATGTCAAATGGTGACGCTATATTCTTATCTGGAGAGCATGCGCAATAAATACCATCGGTTTAGACTGGAATAACCAGACGCTAAAGATTGTCTTCAACTGAGACTTCTGGCGTATTTCGCCGTACATAACTGATTAGAAATTACAGTAAAAACAAATGATTGAATGTAAATCAGTTTATATACATTCATATTACATTATTATATGCGTTGCGACCCATTTGTGTCAATTTCTAGGTCACAAATATTAGCGATTTAGCTCCTTTAAGACGCCTAACAACTGAATATTTTTCATGAGAAACTAGTCCGGTGGCTAATGTGGGGGGAATCGCCACCTGAGTAGTGAATTTATGAGACCAAGTATCTGAAGCATATCCAAAGTACATATGCAAGCTGTTGATCAGCCATCAAGAAGATATTTTATCTGGCTCATATTATGAGCTTTGATTTTGAATCTTTTGATAAAGAATATATTAAGAATAAACTAATATCTAAAAAGGTCTCTGATTTACTGTGATTTTTAATGTACATTTCCAGATATCTTGAAAAGTACCATCATAATTTAATATTTTGAATGACGAAATTGGTACTGAACAAAACAGCTAAGGAGAAAACACTTTTCATATCAATTTTGAACCAAGTGGTTTCTGTCCCCCAAAATACACGTTGCCCCACCCCCCTCCCACCACCCCATACAATGGGAATCTTATACACATATTTAGAAATATGCAGCGGAATTAAAAAGTAATGTATAATAAGGTCCCACCAATTTGATGTTGTGTTCTTCATGGTCTGGGTAAAAAATAGCCTCTTGAATCATGTGAAAATTGCTTTGTTTAAAATTTTAAAACTAAAAGCTTTTGAACAGCACAACCAAGGGAGAGAGAGAGAGAAATGGGGTTTAATGTCCACTAGACACAAACTAGGTCATTTCGGGACTAACACATGGTTCAATTTTATTTCAATATTGAAAAATTAGCTTGCGCTTAGGGGTCTTTAGCAGTGGGAAGAAACCGGAAGACCCAGAGAAAACCCACAAGGTTGGACAGGCGACCCTACTCCTTGACAAATGCAACTGGGGAATCGAAATCCCCGCCAGTTGATTCAATGACAAACCGTATGATACAGCGCACACGTGCTAACCATTCAGCGATCCAACAGAAAATCAAATTGGTGAGAACTAAAACTCAGTTCTGCATCTTATACATGATGATGGGAGCCACGGTGGCTAAGTGGGTAGGACACTGGCTCGCTAGTCTGGTGGTCGCATGTTCGATCCCTGCAATGTCCGAGAAAGTTCATCAGGATTTTCCGACGTGGTTTCCCCTTGTCAGTGGGTCAGGACGGAGTGCCTGACAAAGACGTACAACTTTTTAGTTGTTTGGATTGGATGAAAAACCGAGGTGAGGTCCCGTGTACACATTGGCGTTCATGTAAAATATCCCTTGACAATTGGAATTCGATATAAGAGTAGGCTGTAGTGCCACTGTCCAGGCAAAATTTCCCTCATAACATATTGTATGGTGTATGCCCGTCTTCATTAGTCCAGTCGGAGCAGAACAGTAGGATGTTAAACCCCATTTCATTTCATTTCATTTAGAAAGTGTATAACAGTTAAATAAAAGGTTATTATTGCACCCGTGGAGAAGTAGAAGATAAAACACAATGGCAAAAAGTTTTTAAGTCGTCACATTAAAATTAGTTTAAATGATTCGCAATAATGCATATAATAAACGTTGATAAATGTATACAAGATGTTGCAACATTCGTATAGAAGTAGATATTAAAGTAACTAAGTCTCTAACTCAATATCATCGGCGTAGACTGGAATAACCAGAAGCTAGAGATTGAAATTCGATTGAGAATACTGGCGTATTTTGCCGAACCTAGAAATTACAGTAAAAACAGAAACGATTGAATGTAAATCAATTTATATACATTCATATTACATTATTGTATGCGTTGCGACCCATTTGTGTCAATTTCTAGGTCCCAAATATTAGCGACTTAGCTCCTTTAAATATCATTTGCTATGTAAGGCCTACTGTAAACCTCTGTAAACCTTATTCTATATTATTTGTTGTTTATTATATTGTATTATAATGTGTATTGTATGCTTTACCATACTCGTTTATATACCGTGTTGTTGTGTAATAAAGCATTATTATTATTATTATTATTGTAATGCATAAAAGATATTGTTGTCATCGAGTGACAGTTCACATGATTTATTTAACAATTTGTTTTCATAGTGTTATGACACTGTTTCGATTAAGATCGACGCAGTATTAAAAAACAATGTTTTTCGATTTAAGTGACAACAAAACTTAAAAAATGAAGTTTTTCATGATTAACCTCTTGGCTTTACTAATTGGAGTTATTACTTTCACAGAAACAAGTGGGTAAATTTTATATTAAATGCCACAGCAATGTATTATCATTCATTAAAGATACATTATGGGAGATTAGATAAAGAGCTGGCAGTTCTCACTATAACAGTTAAAAACTAGATACTGTAAAGGGAATTTGCTGAAAATTTCAGTCAAATTGATCCACTATTAACCAAGATTTTAGCCTAGCCTCGATCATCATTACTAAAGTCGGTATGATAATAAACAGTCTCGATTATCCATTTCATTATGAATGGAAGTCGAACAACAAATCGGAACCTAATCCAATAAACAATGCAGGCTAGCGATGTCATTGAGAGTTGATTATGGTCTGGATAAGTTAATTAATGTCTAATTAATGATTTAGATAACATTTCAGGCCTAAAGAAAGACCTGCAATAGGCAGATTTAGCTCTTGCATAATGTATGTTTAAATATATAGTATTTTTGAAGGCCAAACAGTATATTATATAATTAATTAAAATATGTATGTTTTTCCTAACAGACCTAAATATCTTTGATTTCGGTCCCCAAAAAAGTGTTAAATAGAGGGGGCTGGATGGTTGAATGATTCGCATGTGTGTGCTGTATCATAAGGTCTGTCACTGAATCAACTGGCATGGTTTCGATTCCCTGTTTATACTTGACAAGGAGTACGATCGGCTGTCCAACCTTGTGGGTTTTCTCTGGGTCCTCCGGTTTCCTCCCACTGCTATAGACCTCTACGCGCAAGTGAATTATTGAAATAAAGTTGAACCATATGTTAGTCCCAAAATGACCTAGTTTGTGTTAATGGACCTTAAGCTCTCTCTCTCTCTCTCTCTCTCTCTCTCTCTCTCAGATGTGTTATTTCCTATGATTAAAATATCCTTTTAATTTTTTTAAATGGACGTCTGTTTGCTGTCTAATTTAAGTTTTGTTTTTGTCTCAAACTGTCAACATTGGACCTTAAATTCAGTATACTTTGATCAGATTATTGCAAGGGACGAAATATCCATGGTTAAAATATCTTTCCAAATTATTAAATAGAAGTTCATTTTCTTCATCACCAAATAATAATTCTACAGTAGGTATCACTTATGTGATAAATATCATAATCTACTGCGATACTGATTGGTCAGTTAAAAAGGAATCACTTTTTTTTTTCAAAGAACAGTTTATTTTTAATAAAAGTAGCTTCTTTTTTTTTTTTATTAAAAAGGAACTATTTTTATTTAATTGACCTTGATGGAAACACTGGTTGAATTGCTGTCTAAAAATATGATATGTATCACTCTGCCGTAATGTAATCAGGTTCAGTAAAAGTGAAATCTATAGCCAAGAATTATATTTATTTATTTGTGCATGTAAGAAGGGATTGGGTGATAAATAAAATCTCCTACTCGTCCTTTTTTGATATAAAAAAATATCAACACTTGTCGATAAAGTAAAAAAAACTTGGCAGAGCCTCGTTTGTTTGCACATAAAAGAAGCATTGACAGTTAGAATTTGATAAAAGAGTAGGCCGTAGTGCCGCTGTCTGGCCAAAAGTTCCCTTATAGCGCACTATATGGCGTATTACCGTCTTCATTAGCCCAGTCAGAGAAAAACAGTAGGAAGGTTAACCACATTTCATTTCATTTTGCATTGGACACGGACTAAAAATAAGCTAATATAGTACTGCCATTTATTTCACTCAATGACCTCAGTGATGCAGGACGGACGGCCTGAGAAGGACAGATGTCTAGTCGATCGGATGGGACGAAAAACCGAGGTCCCATGTACACATTGGCGTGCATGTAAAAGATCCCTTGGCAGTTGGAATTCGATATAAGAGTAGGCTGTAGTGCCGCTGTCCGGGCAAAATTTCCCTAATAGCACACTGTATGGCGTATGTCCATCTTCATTAGCCCAGTTGGTGCAGAAAAGTAGGACGTTAAACCCTATCTAGTTTCATTTTCATTTCATATATGTTTGTTTTGTATTTAACAGCTAGATCACCAGTATTTTCACAGAATTCCTATCATATTCAAGTCTACGAAAATGTGGTAAGTAAATAAATAACATTTTACTTTATTCTGATTTATATCTCTCTAAGCCGGCACACCAACCCACCATGGGGGGGTTGGATGGCCGAATGGTTAGCATGTGCACGCTGAATCATTCATAAGACCTGTCATTGAGTCAACTGGCATGGTTTCGACTCCCCAGTTGTACGTGACAAGGAGTAGGGTTGCCTGTTCAACCTCGTAGGTTATCTCTGCATCCTCCGTTTTCCTCTCACTGCTAAAGACTCCTACGCGCAAGCGAATTATTGTAATAAAATTGATACCATATGTGAGTCCCAAAATGACCTAGTTTGTGTCGAGTGGACATTAAACTCCTGCATGACTTCAGTCACTCTGTTGACCCATTTTGACCCGGTTTCTTCCCATTGGTAAAACCCCTATGTGCAAGCGAATTATAGAAATAAAATTGAACCATGTGTTAGTCCCGAAATGACCTAGTTTGTGTCGAGTGGATGTTAAACACCATTTCTCACTCTCATTCTTTTATTACATATTTTTTTGACATTCATTGTGGGATGGTATTGTGGATTTGGAAGCCCCCGCCCCCCATTTCACAGTTTCTAGACCAACTACTGTCTCTTAGTGGCCAAGGAATCCGACCGAGAAAGTTACCCATGATTCTCCAGCAGTGGGGCAGGACAGAAAGCCTGTCAAGAATAGCATCTAGTTATTCGGATAGGATAAAAATCCAAAATCCTGTATAGATGTGGGCATGCAGATAAAAGAACCTGTGACCTTTGGAAATACTTCTCTTGGAGCACACTTTATTGTTAGTGTCTGTCATCATTAGTCCAGGTGGTGCTTGAAAATAGAATGTTAAAGGACAATATTGGTGTCAGTCATTATCACATATGTGATAGAACTAATTAAACACGTTCCAAAGATCATTGCTACAATAGCTGAGAAATACAGGTTTCCTGATTCGGAAGTGACGAACGCCAAAGGAAAACACGAGTCATACCTCTATATAACTGACTGATAACAGATACATGGCCGAATTTCTGCTCACTAATAATTCCTTCCAAGACCAAAAGTTGTTGTGTGAGACTGTGAGAGGATATCTGACAATTCATAAAAAGAATTGACTGCCACTAGATAAGAGAACACGAATGAAAAAGAGAAAAAGTCTGTGCATTACCATGTTTTTATAAGGTTTAGAATGAATTATAAGGTACAGACTATTTCTATTTTTCTTGTGTTCTCTTATCTAAGGACATTCAATTACTTTATTGAATTGTCAGGTATCCCCTTACAGTCCCATATAACAACTTTTGGAATGTGTTTAACCAGCTCTATCACATATGTGATAATGACTGGCACCAATATTGTCCTTTAAAGGGGATTATTTCTGAATATATATCGCCTGTCCAACCTCATGGGTTTTCTCCGGGTCCTCCCACTGCTAAAGACCCCTACGCGCAAGCGAATTATTGAAATAAAATTAATCCATATTATGTTAGTGCCGAAATGACCTAGTTTGTGTCGAGTGGATGTTAAACCCCATTTCTCTCTCTGAATATATATTTAAGATTTATAGAAATCTTGTTGAAGAAAATCCCCTTTAAGTTAAACCCTATTTCATTCATTCCATCTCATCAGTGGAATAGCCTAGGGCCTATCATCATCTAAATCCAGTTGGATGGCTGAAGGGTTAGTGCGTGCGCGTTGTATCATAAGATCTGTAATTGAGTCAACTGGCGTGGTTTTGATTCCCCGGATTACATGAAAAGGAGTAGGGTCGCCTGTCCAACCTCGTGGTTTTTCTCCGGGTCCTCCAGTTTCCTCCCACTGCAAGCGAATTATTGAAATAAAATAGAACAATATGTTAGTCCTGAAATGACCAAGTTTGTTTCGAGTGCATGTTAAACCCCATTTCTGTCCCTCTCTCGGTCTTGTTTGTTCGTGGAGGCAGACAAGACTGCATTACGAGAATGAATCCAACTTTATGTTCGCTTGATCATGAACAATACCCTTTTCCCCTGTTAAAAAAAAATCCCTTTCTGAAAAGCAGACAAATGTGATCGGACAGAAGAACATTTCAGACCTAATAATGCTGTCAGGACAAAATATCACTCATACACTGCATGGCATTGGCCGCATGTCCTTAATCTGTTGGTTGTACGTGACAAGGAGTAGAGTCGCCTGTCCAACTTCGTGGGTTTCCTCAGGGCCCTCCGGTTTCCTCCCACTGCTAAAGACCCTTACGCGCAAGTGAACTATGGAAATATAATTGAACCATGTGTTAGTCCCAAAATGACCTAGTTTGTGTTGGGTGGACGTTAAATCCCATTTCTCTCTCTTTCTCTCTTAAATAGTCATGCAAGGCCATAAATGAAATTTCTATTTTCTAACACTAAATAATTATATATATTATTTCAGCAAGATGTGTTTACCAGGATTATGACCTGTGTTATCTCTCTCTCTCTCTCTCTCTCTCTCTCTCTTAATCTGTTCTAGCGTGGACGGTTGGGTTGACCATTGTGATTTAGATCATAAGGTCTGGTTTCCAGTACACACTTGTATGTGACAAGTAGTAGGGTCATCTGTCCATCTTCTTGGGTTTCCTCTGGCTTCCTCCCACAACAAAAGACCCATACGTTGAAGCGACTTATTGAAATAAATATTAGTCCCAAAATGACCTAGTTTGTGTTGAGTGCATGTTAAACCCCATTTCTTTTCTCTCTCTCTCTTTTTCCCCTTTATTAAATTTAAAAGTTTAAATAACATTAAATGTCTTTTTTTTTCTTTTTTTTTTTTTGATAAAAAAACCAGAAAGGAACTAAAGTAACATCAATAGAGGACAAAGTATCTGATCCTGACATCAATACAGTTTTACAATTTTTCTATTCTGGTACCAATTACGAACTATTTGCCCTGATAGATGGGGTTCTATATTTCGATGTAGACTACTTTTTGGACGGTCCACGCCCTAGGCCTAGTAATGTAAGTTTAGTAGTCACTGCAGCAGACAGAACTGGGCTAACAGCAACTGCAGCTTTCGATATTGAAATACTGAAAGTTAATTTACCAACGACTACCGAGGTACCACAAATCACCACCCCTGGAACTTCTCTATTTACCATAAATACGACGGATACCACAGATACTACGGATACCACAGATACCACGGATACCATGGATACCATGGATACCACATTAACCTACGACACGAATTCGTCAACTGGCGTTACTACTGTAGGCTTTTCAATAGATACTACAAGTAAGCCTCAATTCACCATTTTCTTTTTTTTTTGGGGGGGGGGGTGTGATAGAATACATAACTCTTATTTATTAAAAAGATATTTTAATACTGGACAACATATTTACAGGTACATAATAACATCATTTGGTTGGGTGAAGTTACATCTAGCTATAGCTGCTTCCCCTCGGCCTCACAGGACCCCTCTGCCCGGTGTCGAGGGCAGACCCTCTCCCGAGGTCCGGGAGACCTCTCAGCCTCTACGGGCCTCTCTTGTCCCTCCTTTGTACCCTTCCCTGCCTGCTTGTAAACTAGGCTTTTTATATCAGTTAAGGCACGCCATAGTTAATACCATGTCTAAAATTGAGTTACAAATAAAATATGAATTAAGAATACAATATTGAAATTTAGATCCCAAATGATATTGTATTACATGGGGGCGTTCATTCTATACCCATACCATTTCCCCACGGTTGGGAGGGGGATGGGGTTTGGGGGGTGGTCTAGTGGTTTAACACGTGCATATGAATTGATAAGCTCTGTCAGTGAGTCAATAGGTGTGGCTTCGACTTCTCGCTAGAATGTGACAAGGAGTAGGGTCGCCTGGCCAACCTCGTGGGTTTTCTCTGGTTTCCTCCCACTGTTAATAACACCTTACGTCGTTTGATCAGAAAAAAAAATTATTTTATTTTTATGGGTTTTGTATTATCTATTTCCTAGCAATTATAGGATTTTTGAAAATTTTAGTGTTGGAATTTGACACAAAATTGGACTTTTCGTACTTTTTGTGGCGGGGCGAAGGTCGTGTACTTATAGTTTACATTTAAAAAAACCTACAGTAATTTAAATATCTTTATATAACTACAATATAATATGGGGGGTTGGAGGCTGAATGACACTGTCTCACTAGCCAGGAGGTCATATGTTCGATCCCGGCATTGGCCGAGAAAGTTGGATTTTCCAACGTGGTTTCCCCTGACAAGGACAGTTGTCTAATAGTTTGGATAGGACGAAAAAACAAGATCCTGTGTATACATTGGCATTGGCATGCACTTAAAAAATCCCTTGGCTGTTGGAATTCGATATAAGAGTAGGCCATAGTGTTGCTGCCCGGGCAAAATTTCCCTCATAGCACACTGTATGGCATATGCCTGTCTTCATTAACGCAGTCGGAGCAGAACCAAAGGATGTTAAACCCCATTTCATTTCATTCATTCATTCAAAGCAATTGATATTTGATTACTGCATTCATAAAGGCTTTCATAAAGGCTTTCATAGATTTATTATATTTTGTGGTATTTGTCAGGGTTCGTAGTTTCGTACATTCAATAGGCATTATTAATATTATACATAAAGGTTACAATAGATGAATGACACAGACATACATTGATTCTAACAATACTAATAAATGTAAACATTTACAGATTTGTTCTTTTTCGGTTAAATCGACAAAATGTAGGTTTTCTTTTCATCAAAAAAATATCTGTATTTAAACATACATTATGCAAGAGCTAAATCTGCCTATTGCTGGTCTTTCTTTAGGCCTGAAATGTTATCTAAATTATTAGACATTAATTAACTTATCCAGACCATAATCAACTCTCGATGTCATCGCTAGCCTGCGATGTTTACTGGATTTGAATCCGATCTGCTGCTCAACGCTCATTGATGATTAAATAAAAAAATGGATAATCAAGACTATGTTTTCTATCAACTTTAGTAATGATGATCAAGGCTAGGCCTTAAATTCAATCGCTAAATTCTCAGTTCAGAGTGGATCAATTTGACTGAAATTTTCAGCAAATTGCCTTTACATTATCTAGTTTTTAACTATTATAGTGAGAACTGCCAGCTCTTTATCTAATCTCCCATAATGTATCTTTAATTGTATTTTGCTTCATACTGAAAGAGAGCCAATGTGGCTTATGATGTTGGCTCGCTTACGCAAAGGGTCATGTGTTTGATCCTGGTGTTGGCGCGGAAAAATCATACAGATTTTCTGGCAGGGTTTCGCCAGTGTCAGGGACAAAGGGACTCGCAAGGGATAACATACAGTTGTTCACATGTGACGAAAATCCAAGGTCCTGGGTACACACATTGATCCCTTGGGAGTTTGAATTCAACATAAAAGTAGGCAGTAGTGCTTTTGTTCAGGAAACATTTCTTTTACAGTACATTGTACGGCGTAAGTCCGTCTTAAAGGGGGACAGAGATAGAGAAATGGGGTTTAACGTCCACTTGACACAAACCAGGTCATCTCGGGACTTACATATGGTTTAATTTTATTTCAATAATTCGCTTGCGTGTAGGGGTCTTTAGCAGTGGGAGGAAACCAGAGGACCCGGAGAAAACCCACGAGGTTGGTCAGGCGACCCTACTGCTTGTCACGTACAACCAGGAATTCGAGACTGAATAGAGACTATATACCATTTATTACATTGTACATCAAAGACACTATTCTATTTATTTCTTCGTATTTCAACTTAAAATCTTTTGTATATAGATGCATGAATTCACTTTACCATACCATAATGAAAAGAAACATGAAATATTAATTCAATTTACAAATTCTCTGTGTCATCAAAATTAACCGATATATCAAGGTCCTGTCAGAAAGAAATATTTTAATAATATAATTTTGTATATGAATTGTACCCCTTGACTGTCCAAAAATTCAAATATGGAGCAAATACTGAATAGAAACTACACAATTTATTACTAAGTATTTTAAGGTCCTGTCTGGAAGCAAGAAATATTTTCTTAATATAATTTTGTGTATGAATTGTACCCTTTGACTTGCACCCCACATCTACAGCCCCCCCCCCCTCCCCAAATCTGTCAAAAATTTCAAATATCGAGCAAATACTGAATAGAAAATACACAATTTATTACTAAGTACTTCAAGGTCCTGTCAGCAAGCAATATTTTCATAATATAACTTTGTGTATGAATTTATGGACATACATTGATATGGGTACAACAATACAGTAATAACAGTAAGTTACCTACGTACGAAGGGTATTATACTGTTTTGTTATACATATACTTTACAATAGTATATAGATATAGATATAAGTCATAGTAAATATAAAGAAATCCATACAAATAAATATATTATTAATAACAATAAATGTCTTAAAGGAAGGGTACCAGGATATAAAAGAGTTTATAGGCCGGAGTAAGGGTGATACATTTATGTTTATACTTCATGAATTCCTTAAACATAAACATACATTATGCAATAGCTAAATCTGCCTATTGCAGGTCTTTCTTTAGACCTGAAATATTATATAAACTATTAATTAGACATCAATTAACTTATCAAAACAATAATCAACTCTCGATGGCATCAGATTTCTCCGATATTAAATAGATTAGAATGGTTTAACCATACTTTGATTTAATCAAATATGGAGGACCGAGACTTAGCTTCGAACAACCAAAACGGTGGTTGAAATTATTGCACACGTCTTGTCAAACCTTCAAAAGCTAATATCTTCGCTCGCAATAGAGTAATTTGAATGAAATTTTAAAATTATTCATTTTACATTATCTGTTTTTGAGCTATTATAGCAAGAATGGCTAGTTCTTTATCTAAATCTTACATAATGTATCTTTAATGAAATAAATGGTATTCTGGTATTTATCAGTCAGATCCTTTTAATTGAATTGATCGTTGGATGGCCGAAGGTCTGTCAATGAGTCTACTGGCGTGGTTTTGATTCCACGGTTGTACGTGACAAGGACTTCGGGTCACCTGTCCTACTTCGTGGGTTTTCGCTGAGCCCTCCGGTTTCCTGCCACTGCTAAAGACCCCTATGCACAAGCGAATTATTGAAATAAAATTGAACCATATGTTAGTCCCGAAATGACCTAGTTTGTGTCGAGTGGATGTTAAGCCCCATTTCTCTCTCTGTCTTTATTGAATTGAATACATGACTACCAGTTTACACACAAAATAGAGAGAGAGAGAGAGAGAAAAATGGGGTTTAACATCCACTCGACATAAACAAGGTCACTTTGTGTTTAACATATGAAGCCAGAGAACCCAAGTGCTTGTCACTAGGGTTGGGAATCAAAACCACTACACTTGACTCAATGATAGGCCTTTTGATCTAAAGCGCAGACCTTATGATACAGCACGCACATGCTAACCATTCGGCCATCCACCCCCCACACCCCCAACAATAAAATCTTACACATAAAAAAAAATTGTAGATATGTAGGGAAGGCTACTTTAATAATTTGTCGCATTATTTATAAGCGTATAACAGTTAAATAAAAGGTTATCATATAGAATAAAAGATATTGTTGTTATTGAGTGACAGTTCACGCGATTTATTTAACAATTTGTTTTCATGGTGTTATGACATTATTTCGATTAAGATCGACGCAGTATTAAAAAATCACATATTTATGATTTTTTAAAAATGTTTTTCGATTTAAGTGACGGAAAAACTTAAAAAATGAAGATTTTCGTGATTAGCCTCTTGGCTTTACTAATTGGAGTGCTTACTTTCACAGAAGCAAGTGGGTAAACATTGTATTTTAAATGCCAATGTAATGTATTATAATTCCTCAAATATATGGTCTTTTTTTTTTCTAAAATGAGCTAAGTTCTATCACTATGGTATTTTAGAAATGATTTAAGTAACGGCAAAACTTAAAAAATGAAGATTTTCATGATTAGCCTTTGGGCTTTACTAATTGGAGTTATTACTTTCACAGAAGCAAGTGGGTAAAAATTGTATTTTAATTGCCAATGTATTATAAATGTTAAAAATATGGTATTTTATATTAAATGCCAAATCAATGTATTATAATTGCTTAAATATATGGTATTTTTTTCTAGAATCGAGCTACATTCTATCAATATGGTACTTTAGAAATGATTTTTGATTTACGCGACAGCAAAATTTAAAAAATGAAGTTTTTAGTGATTTTGGGATTACTAATTGGAGTTCATACTTTCACAGACGCCAGTAGGTGAACTGTATTTTGAATGCCAAAACAGTATATTATATAATTCATCAAAATATGTCTATTTTTCTTAACAGACCTAAATATCCTGGATTTCAGTCAAAATAAAGTGTTAAAGATACATTATGTAATTTTTAGATAAAGAACTGGTTTTTGCTATAATAGTTCAAAAATAGATAATGTACATTAAATGGTCGAACCGTTCTAATCTACCGGGTGCTTAAAATCTGACCCATCTGATGGCATCAAGAGTAAGCCGTAGTGTTAAACTTTGATCAATGATATTTCCAAGGCGACCCTACTCCTTGTCACATACAATCGGGAAATTGAAACCATGCCAGTTGACTCAATGACAGGCCTTATGATAGAGCGCACACATGCTAACCATTCGGCAATCCAAGCCCCCCATTTTGTATATATATCTGAATGTTTGTTTTGTTTTGTTTTGAACAGCTAGACCACCAGTATTTTCACAGAATTCATATGTTATTATAGTCAATGAAAATGTGGTAAGTAAATAAATAACATTTTACTTTATTCAGATTTACATCTCTCTACGTGGCTTAGTGAATAAGTTGCTAGTAGTGCAGTTAAGAGAGTCTGGCAAGGAAAAAGCATCTAGCCATTCGGATAGGATGAAAAAAAAACAAGTTCATGTATACACTTTGACATGCACGTTAAAGAACCCTTGACAGATGGAATGAAATTGCTGTCGGGCAAAATTTCCCTCATAGCACACAGTATTGTATATGCAGGTCTCCATTCGTTCATGGGGGCAGACAAGACTATTAAATTGTTTCAATGGCATTTAGTAATTGAACTGGAGTATACAGGTCAAAATTCTATGGAATACAATTCTCCCGTCAAAAGGCAAAACCTAGTAACTCACTTTTTTCTTATTTTGAGAAAACAAAGCAAAACGTAATGAATGAATATTAAATGCCAGCTCATCCATTGATTTGACTATTGAGTTACTAGGTTTTGCTGTGGTATACTAGGCAAATGAAGGAAGTTGCTAGGTTGTGTCATGGGTGTAACTGCTTACAAAATCAAAAGATTGGAATATCTAGTACAACAACAGGAGGCACATACCCTAGTAACTACAAATTTGGTCCTAACTCAATTTTGGTAAAAAAGTGAGTTACTAGGTTTTGCCTTTTGACCGGAGAATTACGGCTTATAACTGAGCGACGTTTCGACTAGGCTTCTAAATAATGACTAGAGAAGCCTAGTCAAAACGTCGCTCAGTTATAAGCAGTAATTGTATTCCATAGAATTGTGAACTGTATAAAACTGTATTACCAGGAAGGTTCCAATTTTAAGCTGGCTTTCTTGTGAACACTAGGCCTACCCTTTCCCTGTTCAAAAATAACCCTTTCTGAAGAGCAATTAAAAGTTTTGAAATTTTTACAAAATATCACATACAGAAAGTGGGTGAGTTATATATTGAACAGTGGTGCAGGACGGAGGGCTTGACAAGGACAGCTGTCTAGTCATTTGAATGAGACAAAAAAAACAAGGTCCCACGTACACATTGGCATTCATGAAAAAGATCTCTTGGCAGTTGGCATTCCATATAAGAGTAGGCTAAGCTGTATAGTATAATTTCCCCCATAGCACACTGTATGGCGTATGCCTGTCTTTTATTAGTCTAGTCGGAACAGAACTGTAGCCCGTTAAATCCAATTTCATTTACCTATCTTTTTGGTCTAATGATGCTGCCTGGACTAAAAACACTGCCTACTTAGCCCGGTTGGTACAGAAAAGAAGAGAGAGTGAGAGAGAGAAATGGGGTTTAACGTCCACTCGACACAAACTAGGTCATTTTGGGACTAACATATGGTTTAATTTTATTTCAATAATTCGCTTGCACGTAGGGGTCTTTAGCAGTGAGAGGAAACCGGAGGAGCCGGAGAAAACCCACGAGGTTGGACAGGCGACCCTATTCCTTGTCACGTACAACTTGGGATTCGAAACCACGCCAGTTGACTCAATGACAGGCTTTATGAGACAGTGCGCACATGCTAACCATTCGGCCATCCAACCTCCCCCCCCCCCCCACACCAGAAAAGAAGAATGTTAGTCTCCATTGATTTCATTCTAATGTCCGTAATCGCTTCCGGTATGGGGGTCGGGTGGCCGAATGTGCTTTAGATCATAAGATCTGTCATTGAGTCTAGTGGTATAGTATTGATTCTCCACTTGTACATGACTAAGAGTAGGGTCGTCTTTCAAGGTTTTCTACTACAGCTAAAGACCCCTATGCCCACGCTAATTATTGAAATAAAATTGAAGCATGTGTTAGTCCCGAAATAACCTTAGCCCATTTCTCTCCTTCATTAAATTCTCAATCTGATTAAAATACAGATCATATTTTATTTCGTTTTTATAGTTCAAAATTTCATTTTACTTGTCTTTACTATACTAGGATCTCGAAGAGTTGTCATGTTACCGGCGGGTTTTTTTTAGAAGTGAGGGATAAGCCAATGAAACGGTCTGTTACGGCGATATTGAGTTTTGTTTTTTATAGTTCAAAATTTCGTTTTACTTGTCTTTACTATACTAGGATCTCGAAGAGTTGTCATGTTACCGGCGTTTTTTTTTTAGAAGTGAGGGATAAGCCAATGAAACGGTCTGTTACGGCGATATTGAGTTTTGTTTTTTATAGTTCAAAATTTCGTTTTACTTGCCTTTAATATACTAGGATCTGGAAGAGTTGTTATATTACCGGCGTTTTTTTTAAGTAAGGATAAGCCAATGAAACGGTCTGTTACAGTGACTTTTTAGTGTGCCATGCACAGAACTGTGGGTAAACCACTAGAAACGTCAACGCTGATTGATTAATCAATGCCTGATGTCATAGGGTCAAAAGCTGCTCGTACGACCCCTGACATGGCCTTCGAGTACAACTTGTCAGATCTTCATGTAGTGTAGGCCATCGAAAGTATAAAAAAATTAAACGAAATATAGATCTGTATTTTAATCAGATTGTTAAATTCTTAATCTAAATTGTTCATCACATTTGATATCTTTTTTTTTATAACAAAAAACAGAACGGAACAATGCTAATTATTGAAATAAAATTGAACCATGTGTTAGTCCCTTAATAACCTTAACCCATTTCTCTCCTTCACTTAATTTATTTTATAAACTTAATCACATTTAATTTCTTTTTTTTTATAACAAAAAACAGAACGGAACAGAGGTAACGTCAATAAAGGACAAAGTAACCGATCCAGACTTCAATACAGTTTTAGAATTTTTCTACTCCGGTCCCGATTACGAACTATTTGTCCTGATAGATGGCGTTCTATATTTCAAAGGGGACTACTTTTTGGACGGTTCACGCCCTAGTAATGTAAGTTTAGTAGTCAGTGCAGCAGACAGAACTGGGCTAACGGCAACTGCAGCTTTCGAAATTGAAATACTGGATGTTAATCAATTACCAGTGCTCCATAATTTACCATCGAGTGCCGAGATACCGGAAATGACCACCCCTCGTATTAACCTGTTTAAGATTAATGCCACGGATAGAGATAGGAATACTGTGTTAACCTACGGGATGATTCCTTCAGCTGCCGTTACTGCTGCAGACTTTGAAATAGATACCACAAGTAAGTCTCAATTTATTTCTGTTAAAGTAGCTAAGTCTCTAACTCAATATCATCCAAAGTCTTTCACATTGAAAACACAAATTATTTGTCAATTCAAATCAACATTGATGTTTTGATCTTGCTGAGAAAAGCTGGGCTTCTGATAACGGTATCTAACATTTAAGACCAAATAAACATTTTACCATTGGTACATGATGTGTTTCAGCGAAATTTGTAACAAGGGACTCGAAAAACAAGGCTAGACATATTCCACAAGTCATGTCAAACGGTGACGCCATATATTATCGGTGTAGACTGGAATAACCAGACACTAGAGATTGCTATTCGATTGAGAATTTGGCGTATTTTGCCTAACACCACTGATTTGTCTGAGTAAAAACAGAAATGACTGAACGTAAATTAGTTTCTATACATTCATATTACATTATTATAGTAGTAGTAGTTATAAAAACATCACATTCATAAATTATAATATATACTGAGTATTAAAAAAACTGCTATTTGTGTCAATTTCGAGGTCCCAAATATTAGCGATTTTGCTGCTTTAATCGTCTTTAGCATAATTTTACACGCCCACATTTTCATGTCGATGTATATTGTCGTCGTCCCTGTCCGTCTGTCTGGCCATCTGTCTCTTTGTCTGTATGTCCGTCCACAATTTGTTTGTGGACACTCTACAGGTCACAATTTTTATCCGATTTTGACGAAACTTGAAATATAGGTCTATCTCCCACAAATCTTGGTTCCTCTGGTTATAGGCATGTATCAGACCATAACTTCATGGATTATGGCCCCTGATTGTCAGAAAAATCACATTTTAGCTTGTGGACACTCTGAGGTCACAATTTTCATCTGATTTTGATGGAACTTGAAAAGTATGTTTATAACCCAAAGATCTTGGTTCCTTTCGATATTCCTGCATATTGGACCGTAACTTCCTGAATTATTGCCCCTGATTGTACAAAAATCGCGTTTTTAGCTTGTGGTGCCTCTAAAGGTCACAATTATTATCCGATTTAAAAAAAATATATCACCATTAAACTGTAATGTTGGTTGAGTTGGAATTTCGTGAAAATCGGACTAAAACTGCTGGACAAAATTGCCGCCCCTTGTACGCAAATAGTGTAAAAATGTGGTATATCAAGGTTGTGGACCGTCTAGTGGTCATAATTTTGATCTGATTTTGATGAAACTTGAAATACATGTTTATAATCCAAAGATCCTGGTTTCTTTCGATATTCCGGCATATCGGATCGTAACTTCCTGGATTATGGCCCTTGGATTCAATCAGATTTATAGAGAGAGAAATGGGGTTTAACGTCCACTCGACACAAACTAGGTCATTTCGGGACTAACATATGGTTTAATTTTATTTACATAATTCGCTTGCGCGTAGGGGTCTTTAGCAGTGGGAGGAAACCGGAGGACCCGGAGAAAACCCACGAGGTTGGACAGGCGACCCTACTCCTTGCCACGTACAACCGGGGATTCGAAACCACGCCAGTCGACTCAATGACAGACTGTATGATACAGCGCGCGCACGCTAACCATTCAGCCATCCAACCCCCAATCAGATTTATAATATGCATATCATTTCTGATCGTCCACAATAAAATAGTGGCAGGGTTAATACATAGCGAGCAGCATAGATCGATGAAATTTAAATTTTACATTTTTGTAAAATTATGAACAAACAGAATTGAACCATTTTTTTGAACCAATATTCCTATTAGAGATTCATCTTTTAGAATACTGGGGGGTTGGATGGCCAAATGGTTAGCACGTGCGTGCTGTATGATAAAGTCTGTGATTGAGTCAACTGGCACAGTTTCGATTCCCCGGTTGTACATGACAAGGAGTAGGGTCGCCTGTCCAACCTTGTGGGTTTTATGGAAATAAAATTGAACCATATGTTAGTTCCGAAATGACCTAGTTTGTGTCGAGTGGACGTTAAACCCCATTTCTCTCTCTCTCTCTCTCTTTTAGAATACTGGTATTGTAGTTTGAAATTGATTCCTATTGTGCCAAAATAACACAATGAGACTTCAGAAATTCTAAATAATTACCATTATTTTAAATTCTAGCTGGCATCATTACCTTGGTTACTGGCAATGTTATGGATTATGATTCAAACAGTGTAAAAAACTTCACAATCGAGATAACGGTGTCAGATCAAACAGCAACATCTACCAGTACACTGACAGTCACGGTTACAAATGTAGATGAAGCACCAGTATTTGATAGTTCTTTTAATGGTAATGTCACTATACCTGAAGGAAAGGTAAGCATGATCAGATTGTTAGTGACGGACGAAGGATATTTTATTAAGGGTTGTCTAGAGTGGGTCTCTCCTCTAGGAATATTATGAATGGTAATGTTATGAATACCTGAAGGCAAGGTAAGGTTGATTGTATTATCAATGATGGACGAGGGATATTTCGTTAAAGGTTGTACAGAGTGAGTCTCTTCTCCGAGAAAGAAAGAGAGGGAGAAATCGGGTTAAACATCCACTCAACACAAACTAGGTCATTTTGGGACTAACACGTGGTTCAATTATATTTCAATAATTTACTTTTGCATAGGGGTCTTTAGCAGTGAGAGGACCCAGGGAAAACCCACGAGGTTGGACAGGCGACCCTACTCCTTGTCACGTACAACCGGGGAATCGAAATCACGCCAGTTGACTCAATGACAGACTTTATGACACAGCGCGCACGTGCTAATCATTCGGCCATCCAACCCCCCTGTATTATCAATGATGAACGAAGGATATTTCATTAAGGGTTGTCAAGAGGGGGTCTCATCCCCAAGAAAATTTTGAATGATAAGGCGACGAATATCCGAAGTCAAGGTAATCCAACTAGTTAGATGTTACTCTTTAATATTCTGACGACACGTAAACAAAACCTCAAGACACTCTGGAGTATTGTGACAAGCAGGATATATGATTAGGAGATAGTCTGTGGGGGTGAGGGGGGGCTGTCCTCCGAGAAAATTTGTGTCAGTGGTATGTCAATGATTATTTGTATCTGGGCCAGGCTGTTAGGTGAGGTTGATTGGTTTATTCAGAACCTTCAGGAACTTTCATTTTCAGTTGTCCCATGGATCTACGAATAATTTCTGGAGAGGACATTAGCTGACATTTTTCCCAACCAGTCCATATATCCTAAAAGTAACAAATAGTGATCTCTCTGGAAATTTAAACAGGAAGTGTCATTTGACCGTGATCTCTCTGAAAACTTAATCAGAAAGTGTTATTTGGCCTTGATCCCTCTGGAAAATTAATCAATAAGTGTCATTTGACCGTGATGTCTATGGAAAATTAATCAATAAGTGTAATTTGACCGTGATCTCTCTGGAAAATTAATCAATAAGTCTCATTTGACCGTGAACTCTTCAGAAATTTAATCCGAAAGTGTTATTTGATCATGATCTGTCTGGCAATTAATATATATGACCGAATTACGCCATTTATAAGATTCCCACATATCAATTAACTTTAATTGTTCTACTACCAGACACTCATCAATAATTATCAACACAACACTCGGTATAATCTGTTTACGACTTTGTATACAACTCTTATAACACCAATCACGAGATTATGTGGCTTCTATATGTGTGGATTATTCTGTACTGGCTGTACAATTGTATAGTTACATAGTGGAGGTCGATGGTAGCCATATTTGAAAATGGAGGGTTTTGAAAAAAATTGCTCTTTTTCCAGCGTGCAAAATGACCGATGGGTCGGATCTAGTTATGGTCATTTTCCATAGCCCTCGGTCCCGACCGGCATATACTGCCAACGTAGAACCCATGCCCTGATCCCTTTGGAAATTTAATCAGGACATGTCATTTGACCGTGATCTCTTTGGAAATTTAATCCGAAAGTGTTATTTGATTGTGATTTGTCTGGCAATTCAAACATATGACCCTTATTGCCTGGATATGGGCAACATTTACTTCCTAGGGCTAATATATTTGATCTTTATTGACTTATTTTACAGGCAGGAGAAATTGTGTTTAGTGATATAAAGAATTTTGTCACCGATCCTGAATCCAATATAGTTACCTTTGACCTCCAGACAGGACTGCATGCGGAGAAATTCAGCATCGATCAGACCAGTGGAACCATCACTTATGCTGCAGATTACAATGTGGATCCTGCAGGGTTACCAGGGCAGGTGACTCTGGTGGTATTAGCAAAGGATAGCACAGATCTATCCAGTAGTGTGACGATGGTAATTGAGATCACTGATGCTAATCAAGCACCAAGATTTAACAACTTACCAGGAACTATTATCGTTGATGAGAACACTGCATCGTTAACAGATGTTTTCACATTCAACGCAACAGATCCTGATTCTAATGATGTATTAACAATAACTGTAACTGTACCAGTGGCAGAATTCACCCTTTCAGGTATAGCCAATATTTAAAGTAAAAAAAGAGAGAGAGAGAGAGAGAGAGAGAGAGAGAGAGAGAGAGAGAGAGAGTCATATTGGGATTAACATATGGTTTCAATCTTATTGAGAGATTAACATATGCTTTCAAATTTATTTCAATAATTCACTTGCACGTAGGGGTCTTTAGCAGTGGGAGGAAACCGGAGGATCTGGAGAAAACCCACGAGGTTAGACTTGTTGAAACGTAGTGTGAAATAAAATCAGTGATTGTTTTCCATATAAATTTGTGTTTTTATATTATATGTTCAATTACTAAATGCCATATCAGGATTTCATGAAATGTATAAGAAAAAATAATAATTTTGCTTCAATCCTCTTACATCATGCATCTTTAAATTACATAAAATGATTTTAGTTTCAGGGGACGTTTTGTCTGTATCATCGGGTGCAACTTTAAATTATGAAGTAGAAAATTCCTACACGATGACATTCCAAGTATCCGATGGAGTTCTAACAGATACCCAAACACTTACCATAAATATTAAAGATGTTGCAGAGGCTCCAGTCTTTACAGAACCAAATTACTTAATTACAATGGATGAATCAATGGTATCGTATGCTTAAACTTTTCTATAATACTTGACGGGGAGCCAAGGCGTTGGCCCGCTTACCTGGAGGTCTCATGTTGGCCGAAAAAGCTCATCAGGATTTCATGGCATGGTTCCGCCTTGTTGGTGATGCTTAAACTTTTTTATGGTACTTGATGGCGGGGTGGGGGTGGGGGGCACAGTGGCTCAGTGAGTAAGGCGTTAGCTCGCTTATCTGGAGTTCCCATGTTTGATCACAGTGTTGGCCAAGAAAGTTCATCAGGATTTCCCTGTATGGTTCCCCCTTGTCAGTAAGGCATTGGCACGCTTACCTGGAGGTCCTATGTTCGATCGAGAAAGTTCATCATGATTTCCCGATGTTGTTCGACATTGTCAGTGGTGCAGGACACAGTATCTGTATTATATGCGTGCCATGCACGTGAAAGATCCCTTAGCAGTAGGTCATAGCACAGCTGTATGGGTAAAATTTCCCTCATAGCACATTACATGGTGTATACCCGTCTTCAAAGGACAATAAACCTCATTTTATTTTATTTCATTTCTTACACTCGGAACGGAAATAGTATTCATTGGATGGCTGAATGGTTAGCGCATGGGTGTTGTATCATAAACTATGTCATTGAGTTAACTGGCATGGTTTCGATTCCCTGGTTGTACGTGACAAGGAGTAAGGTTGCCTGTCCAACCTCGTGTGTTTTCTCTGGGTCCTCCGGTTTCCTTCCACTGCTAAAGACCCCAATGCACAAGCGAATTATTGAAATAAAATTGAACCATATCTTAGTCCCGAAATGAACTAATGACATTAAACCCCATTTTTCTCTCTCTTTTTTTAAAACAGAAAGGAACAGAACTTACAACACTAACAGGTAGAATCACTGATGATGACGGCCAAACTACTTTTGCCTATACTCTGACCGGGAATGATGCTAATAAATTTATCATCAACAACGGCAAAATACTCTTTGATGTGGATTATTACGTTGGCGCTTCACCTGCTAAACCCGACCTGGGCGTGGTAGCCAGGGACAGCAGTGGATTAAATGCCACAGCAACTTTCGATATAACGATTCTTGATATCAATCAAGCTCCAGTTTTCACAAATCTTCCCAACAGTAACCAGCTCCCTGAGATAGTTGATCCTGAAACCGTTTTATTCACAGCTTCAGTCAATGATCCAGATCAAGCAGATACTATAACCATTGCATGGACACTGCCAGCATCTGGAATTGATCCTGCCGATTTTAGTTTAGATCCATCAAGTAAGTTACCAGTTTCTGTCTATACTTATGCAGAGGTGATCGGCCAACCCACCCCCACTTCTTATGACAGAAGGGGGCTGGATGGCTGAATTGTTAGCATGTGCATGCTGTATCATAAGGTCTGTCGTTAAGTTAACTGGAATGGTTTCGAATCCCCGGTTGTACATGACAAGGAGTAGAGTCGCCTTTCCAACCTCATGGGTTTTCTCTGGATCCTTGAAATTGAATAATTGAAATTGAATAATTGAACCATGTGTTAGTCCCAGAACGGCATATCTCTCTCTCTCTCTCTCATTCTCTCTCTCTCTCTCTCTACTTATGCAATAGTGACAGAGTTCCCGTGTCAGGAATCGAACCCACAACCCCAGGCATGGAATCGATACACCAAGTCAGTGGGATCTAAACTCGTAGCGAGATATCTGCACAATCCAGTAGCATACCACAAATTAATATCCATGGCACATTCTTCAGCTGCTTCAGATGATTTGTCCACATAGCGCAGCGAAATGCCAGATAAACTCTTGGAGGTTTTTTTTAGAGAGAAGAAGCATTCGCACACCTATAAAGTCACCAGGCCCTATGGTGGGCGCCAAATATGTAACAGGTTACCCCATTGGGGAATCAAATCCTGTGACCCCTGGCATGGAATCTATGCACCTCTACCAAATGAGCCGAAGTGAGTTCCCCAGGACCAAGATTTCCATCCCGCTACGCACTCTAAACCCTGGGTTCCCAACCTCGGGGTTGCAACCCTAGCTTGGGTTGCGGAGCACTCTTCATGGGGTTATTGGGGACTACTATGAAACTTTCGAAAAAATTTAATGAAAAGCATAAAAATCTCTAATCTATACATCTGTTGCCACATTGCCAATCGTCTCTCATCTCTAACGCTCACAAGTTTTGTCCTCAATCCCTCATTACAACATTTTGATCTGTATATAATGGTGTTGTTTCATAGTAAAAGGTGACATTGTTCTTTGAGGGGGTGCAACACAATGAATTCCACTTTCTTATTTCAATTTTTTTTTTATCAATTTGTATATCAGCTGGCGTCATAACAATTCATTTAACTTTTCATTTCACAAAAAAAATTATTAATTCATATTTCAGCTGGCGTCATAACTCTTGTAACAGGAAATGTGATGGATTTTGAAGCAAGCAGTGTTAAATTTTTTACCATTGAGTTAACAGCATCAGATGGAACACTAACAGTTACCAGTACTCTAACAATAACAGTTACAAACAAGAATGAACCTCCAATATTCAACAGCACTTGGACACAAATAGTATCAGCACCTGAAGGAAAGGTATGTAATTCATCTATCTCACACTGACTCTTCTTCTCTATCTCACACTGACTCTTGTTTTCTATCTTACACTTACTCTTGTTCTCTATCTCACACCAACCCTTGTTCTCTATTTCACACTGACTCCTGTTTTCTGTCTCACACGTGCTCTTGTTTTCTGTCTCATACTGACTTGTGTTCTCTGTCCTTCACTGACTCTTCTTCTCTGTCTCACACTGACCCTTCTTCTCTATCTCATGCTGACTGTAGTTGTTTGTCTCACTCCAACTTTGTCTCACGTTGACTCTTGTTTTTCTATCTCACACTGACTGTAGTTGTTTGTCTCACTCCCACTCACACTGACTCAAGTTCTCTGTCCTTCACTGACTCTTGTTCTCTGTCTCATATTGACTCGTGTTCTCTGTCCTTCACTGACTCTTGTTCTGTATCTCACACTCACTCTTGTTCTCTGCCTCACACAAACCCTCCTTCTCTATTTCACACTGACTCTTGTCCTCTATCTCACACTAACCCTTGTTCTCTATTTCACACTGACTCTTGTTCTCTTTCTCACACTAACCCATGTTCTCTATTTCACACTGACTCTTGTTCTCTATCTCACACTGACTCTTGTCTGTCTTCAATTTGACATTGATTCATGTCTAATTGTTGTCTATGATCTTTTACTATCTCCTGTCCACTTTTTTTCACTATCTCTTGTCCACTTTTTTTCACAATCGCCTCTCCACTTTCTCTCACTATCTCCTGTCCACTATCTCTTGTCCACTTTCTCTCACTATCTCTTGTCCAGTATCTTTCACAAGCTCTTGTCCACTTTCCCTCACTGTCTCCTGTCCACTATCTCTCACTATATGTTGTCTCTTGTACTCTCACTGACTCTTGTTCATTATCTCTTATGGTTTCTTGTTTCCCATTTCCATTCACCTATTCTTGTGCTCTATTTTATACTGATTCTTGTCCACTGACTCTTGTGCACTATCTTCTACGAACTCTTGCACGCTATCTTATACTGATGCTTGTCCAGTATCTCCCATTGTTGCTTATCTACTATTTTGCTGATTCTAGTCCACTGCCTCAAACTGATCCTTGTCCACTATCTCCCATTGATTCTTGTCTGTTACAAATTCTTGTCTCAACTGAATCTTGTCTACTACCTCCCATAGATTCTTGTCTACTACCTCCCACTGATTCTTCTCCACTACCTCCCACTAAATCTTGTCCTATTTCTCTTACAAACTCTGATCTTCACTGAATCTTGTGCACTACCTACCTCTGACTATTGTCTCCATTCAAACTGTTACAAACTCTTGTCCACTATCAAACTGTTACAAACTCTTGTCTCCACTGCCTCTGGCTGACCCTTGTCTTCATTTCCATTGATTCTTGTCCTCTCTAAACATCTTTTATGGATTCTTCTCTACTATCTCCAGTTGACTCTTTGTTTCTGATTTTTTTTCTTCTCACTCACGCTGATTCTTGTCTTATATCTCTTACCGACTATCTCTTTCCATTCTTTGACCACTTAGTACTATAACATGTAATTGTTGTTTAATTCCTGACATTTGCTCTCCTTCTCACTCCATTTCTACACTCAACTGTTGTTTTTTATTTGACAACCATCCTTTTCAGATGGGCGACACTGTGTACAGTGATTTATCCACTGTTGTAACTGACCCAGAAGGCAATATTGTTAGATATGCTATCCAAAATGGACTCAATTCTGACAAGTTCTATATACATCCATTCAGTGGCATCATTACATATGAAGAGAACTATAATGTTGATCCTGCTGGACTACCACCTCAAGTACTTCTCACAGTAGCTGCTGTGGATACATCATCATCATTGTCCAGTACTGCTACAATGACTATTAACATCATGGATGCAAATCAGCCTCCCAAATGGACAAACCTACCAGCTACTATTGATGTCAGGGAGGATGAAGCACCAGGAAACACGGTGATTACCTTCACAGCCTCGGATCCAGATTCTTTGGATGTTCCTGCATTAGTATTTTCAGAACTTGGTGGGACAACAGATTTAGTAGTTATAGGTATCTCACTCAAAATACATTACACCAAAACTCAAGTTATTTAAAAGAGAATGTAATGCAATGAAATGGGGTGTAATGTCCTACTGTTCTGCTCCAACTGGTCTAATGAAGATGGGCATACGCCATACAGTGTGCTATGATGGAAATTTGGCCCGGACAGCAGTGCTACGGTCTACTTATGATTTCTCACGGGACCATCCACTACAACCATTCAGATATTCATGTAGTAGAGGCCATCCATCAGAAGTATAAAAAAACAAAACGAAATATAGATCTGGGCCCTTATTCACAAAAACTTAAACTAAGATAAAATTGAAATTTTAAGAAATACTGCAATTCGATTGGCTGACCAGTAAAATCAATTTGCATATATCCAATGAAATTGCAGTATTTCTTAAAATTTCGATTTTATCTTAGTTTAAGTTTTCGTGAATAAGGGCCCAGTATTTTAATCAGATTGGTGTTTTAGGATCCTGGGGGTCACGGTGGCTAAGTGGGTAAGATGCGATCTCACTAGCCTGGAGGTCGGGTGTTCATCCAGAATTTCCAGCGTGGTTCCCCCTTGTCAGTGATGCAGGACAGAGGGCCTGACAAGGACAGCGTTCTAGTCATTCAGATGGTATGAAAAACCGATTACCCATGTACACATTGGTGTGCACGTAAAAGATCCCTTGACAGTAGGAATTGGATATAGAAGTGGGTTGTAGTGCTGCTGTCCTGATAAAATTTCCCTCATAGCTCACTGTATGGCGTATGCCCACCTTCATTAGCCAAATTCGGAGCAGAACAGTAGGACGTTAAACCCCATTTCATTTCATTTCATTTCATTTTATTTTCATTTCGTTTTAGGATCCTACAATAGAGATGCAAAGTAAGCTATTCTCAAATTTCTTAACCATTTACGGAGCGTTGGATGGCTGAGTGGTTGGTGTGTGTGGGCATTGTATCATGAGGTCTGTCATTGAGTCAACTGGCATGGTTTCGATTCCGTGGTTGTACGTGACAAGGAGTAGAGTCACCTGTCCAACCTCGTGGGTTTTCTCTGGGTCCTCAGGTTTCCTCCCACTGCTAAAGACCTCTACGCGCAAGAGATGTTGAAATACATTTGAACCATATGTTAATCCCGAAATGACCTAGTTTGTGTCGAGTGGACCTTAAACCCCATTTCTCTTTTCTCTCTGGTGTTTTGAAATTTCTTAACCATTTACATTTCAGGTGCAAATCTTGATATAGTTTCTATAGATTTTGAAACTAAACAGATGTATACATTGACTATTCAAGTCACTGATCCAGCTGGAGGAACAGACAACCAAACACTTACAATAAATATTAAAGATGTTCCAGAACCACCAGTGTTCAATCAAATTCCTAATTATATGTTAACTATTCCAGAAGGAGTGGTAAGATCTTTATATGTACTCCTTTTCTATCACAGGTCACGGTGGCTAAGTGGGTAAGATGCTGGCTCGCTAGCCTGGAGGTCGGGTGTTCGATCCCTGCATTGGCCGTGAAAGTTCATCCAGATTTTCCGGCGTGGTTATAAACTCAACACTAATTATCTAATCTAAACAGACCCTTTAAACTACACAACAGTAGAAACTCAATAGTTTTCTATGATTCTCAACAGATTTGATCAGTTTTCCAACAATGGTTTGAAATTTAACATTTTAATATAGAAACTTCTCAGTGTATCATTTAGTTGTGTTGTTTTAGCAGAACTTCTGCTAAAACAACACAAATAAATGATACCCTGGGCGACCTTCGGTTGCACGGATTTTCGTACTATAGTCAAACCATCTGCATGCGAATGACATTAAGTTGAACCAGTGGTCGTGACCAACCGTACCATGCGATAAAGCACAGTCAGGATAGTTCAAAGATGGCTGACAAAACTGACACTTGAGAAGATTTTCTGAAAAATATAATAAAATTGTTGATTACCGTTGCATTATTTACACCTTGGTCGGTATTATAGGGCCCATGTTAACACCTGAAAGTTAGTGAATTGACATTGTAGTATAACTATAGATGTTAAATATGATTTTTTTTTGGTTTTTTTGATGAATTTGACAGATTAGGATCTTCTTATTCGAATATATATAGGCACACAACAAAAAACTGTACGTGTGAAATGATTTAGTTGGGTGACATAATTCCAATGAAATCCTATTGACTAATCCTATTTGTAACCTATTTTAAGCTTGCTTTCCCATCGCAGTATGGAAAATTAACCAGTTTTTAAAAATACATGAGTAAATAGGAGAAAATATAGCAGGCGGAACAACTGACATGGTCGCCACCATATTGAATAGTCAATGGCTAGGGCCATTTACGTTTGGGTGCTGGTTCAGACTGTAGTCGCGACCATAGTCTACATCCGAAGGTCGCCCAAGTTGTAGTGAATATAGACAGACATTATGGCTAAACATTTGAATTTTTTATTTCATATTGAACAGAAAGGAACTATTGTGGCATCAATACCAGATAAGATTACTGATGGTGATAATGACACGTTTTTTACCTACGAACTATCAGGAACCGACGCCAGTAAATTTACAGTTTTAGCTAATGGAAGTATTCTATATGATGTTGACTACTATCTAGGAATGTCACCCCCAACGGCCACCATAACAGTCACGGTATCAGATCTCACATCCAAAACGGCAACCACAGATTTTATTTTCACCGTTACCAACGTCAATCAACCACCTATATTTACTAATTTACCAAACAGTACTAACGTAGCAGAAATAGTAACACTACCTCACCTGTTATTTAGGGCCATGGCTTCAGATCTTGATGCAGCTGATATTCCAGGTCTGGACTATTCAATGAGTGTATCTGATTCAGTCTCTGCTGCAGATTTTTTCCTTGATATAACAAGTAAGAGTTTGAATATTTTTTTTGAAAATTATATTTTTGAATACAAACATCCAATTTTATATGTTTTGTTCCTTCTATTAGAGGGGGGTAGATGGCCGAATGGTTAGCACGTGCACGCTGTATCATAAGGTCTGTCATTGAGTCAACTGGCGTTGTACATGTCAAGACGTAGGGTCGCTTGTCCAACCTGCAACCTCACGGGTTTTCTCCAGGTCCCCCAGTTTCCTCCCACTGCTAAAGACCCCTATGCGCAAGCGAATTATTGAAATAAAATTGAACAATGTGTCTGTCCCGAAATGACCTTCTCTCTCTCTCTCTCTCTCTCTCTCTCTCTCTCTCTCTCTCTCTCTTAAGACGCTGGCTCAATAGCCTGGAGGTCGGGTGGCCGAGAAAGTTCATCCAGATTTTCCGGGAGGTTTCCCCTTGTCAGTGATGCAGGACAGAGGGCCTGACAAGGACAGCTGTCTAGTCGTTCGGATGGGACGAAAAACTGAGGTCCCGTGTACACATTGGGTGGACATAAAAGATCCCTTGGCAGTTGGAAATCGATATAAGAATAGGCCATAGTGCCACTGCCCTGGCAAAATTTCCCTCATAGCACACTGTATGCCATATGCCCTTCTTCGTTAGCCCAATTTAGGAGCAGAACAGTAGGACATTAAACCCCATTTCATTTCATTTCTTAAAATTAAGAATTTACTCAACTTTCAATCACTGCTTATGAGAAACATTTTTGATCCACAAACACAAAACTTTGCACATAAATTATTGATGTATTTAATACATTAGAATAAAAAAAGTTTTATAAAGGGCTATATTTTAATTAAAATAAGGCGAACAGTTTTGAGTAAATTCTTAACTTATGTCTGAGAATGCTTTGTGAACTCGGGATCGAAGGCGAAATTTTGTCCGGACAGCAGTACTATGAACTACTCTTATATCAAATTCCATTTCATTTATGTGTACGTCAATATGTGCACAGGACCTTGGTTTTTCATCCAATCCAAACAACAATTTGTTGTACTTTGCCAGGCCCTCCACCTTGCATCACTGACAAGGGGGACCATGCCGGCAAATCCCAATGAACTTTCTCAGCCAATGCAGGGATCGAACACCCGACCTCCAGGTTAGCGAGCCAACATCTTACTCACTGATCCACTGTGGCTACTATGGAAGATTAGATAAAGAGTTGGCAGTTCTCACTATACTAGTTAATGTAAAGGGAATATGCGAAAAATTTCAATCAAATTGCTCCACTCTGAACCAGGATATTAGCGATTGAATTTTAGGTCTAGCCTCGATCATCGGTACGATAAAAAACATTGTCTGGATTATCCATATTTGAGCTGCGTTGAGCAGCAGATCGGATTCACATCCAGTGAAAATCTGACACATACTTTCGATGGCCTACACCACATGAAGATCTGACAAGTTATAATGGAAGTTCATGTCAGGGGTCAGACGAGCGGCTTTTGACCCTATGACGTCAGACATTGGTTAATCAATCAGCATTGACGTTTCTAGTGGTTTACCCACAGTTCTGTGCATCAAAGGGCCAAGAACTCGTCATAACAAACCGTTTCTTTGGCTAATACCTCACACGATCCAGAACACGTCAATGATAACAACTCTTCCAGATCCTAGTGTAGTAAAGACAAGTAAAACGAAATTTGGAACTATAAAATAAGAAACGAAATAGGATCTGTGTTTTAATCAGACTATTTAGATAACATTTCAGGTCTAAAGAAAGACCTGCAATAGGCAGATTTAGGTCTTGCTATAATGTATGTTTAATTAAAATATTTTTATGAATTCTAGCTGGAGCTATCACACTTACCAATGGTAATGTTATGGATTATGATACAAGTATTACAAAGTCTTTCACCATCAACATGACGGTCACTGACAATAAATCAACCAGTACTGGAACCTTGACTGTCACTGTTACTAACGTAGATGAACCACCAATATTTAACAGTTCATGGACAAAATCTACATCAGCAATGGAAGGAAAGGTATGTATATACTGTAAAGTTCATAGAGGGGGGTGGGGGGATGACATAATGGTTAGATCGTTTGCGTTGCATTATAAGGTCTGTCATTGAGTCAACTGGTGTGGTTTCGCTTCCCTGGTTGTACTTAAGTAGGGTCGGCTGTCCAACTTCGTGGGTTTTCTCTGGGTCCTTCGGTTTCCTCCCACTGCTAAAGACCCCTACACGAAAACGAATTATTGAAATAAAATTTAACCATGTTATTCCCGAAATGACCTAGTTTGTGTTGAGTCGATGTTAACCCCCACCCTCTCTCTCTCTCTCTCTCTCTCTCTCTCTCTCTACCATTACATCTGAAATTTTCACAAAATTTGTAGACTTTAAAATTAAATGAAAACTAAATTGTTTTAAACTGGGGAACTAAACAAACATGTGCCAGAAAGAGAGCAATAAATACTTAAACATCATATTTATTACAGACTATACTACATACCGGAAAACACCAGAAAACACCAGAAAACTACCAGAAAACACCATGATATACTGAATACCGGAAAACACCGGAGAAACACTAAATACCGGAAAACACCCTAAATAGGTAAACCGAAGCCTGGTCCTCTGGAAAACAAGGGAAAAACCTAACCCTAACCCTAGCCTAGTCGTCTGGAAAACACAGGAAAAACCTAACCCTAACCCCCGCACACAGGGGACCAGGCTCCGGGTTACCTATTTATGGTGTTTTCCGGTATTTAGTGTTTTTCTGGTATTCAGTATAACATGGTGTTTTCTGGTAGTTTTCTGGTGTTTTTCAGTTGTTTTCCAGTGTTTTCCTGTGTTTTTCGATGTTTTCCGGTATATAGTATTGCCATTAATTACCATATGTTTTTAATCTTGTTTCAGGCGGGTCAAACAGTGTACAACGATTTACAAAATGTTGTTTCGGATCCTGAGGGAAACCCTATTACATACACTATCCAACCAGGGACCCACTCGGATAAATTCTCAATAAATCCATCCACTGGACTCATCAGCTACGATGTAGATTACGACACAGATCCAAGTCAAACCAATTTTCCGAATACGGTGGTACTGACCATTGTCGCAACAGATTCCACGAATCTTTCAACCAGCGATACCCTGACCATTAACATCAATAGCGTAAATCAACCACCCCAGTTTACCAAATTCCCAACACCAGTGGATATTCTTGAAAACACAGCTCCGCTTGATGTAGTGTTTACATTCACGGGAACTGATCCAGATTCAGCAGATATTCCATTGCTAACATATTCGATACTCAATGGAGTGGACAAATTTACCGTTTCAGGTGAGACTATTTCTTCACTTTTTAAAATTTATTATACTTAGATAGAGATACATTCATGACAACAATCAAAGAAAAATCATGAATGATATATGGGCGCTGTTTCTCGAAATCTTAACTAAAGATAAAATCCAAATTTTAGTAGATACGTCAAGTTTGATTGGCTATAAGCACTAAAATCAATCTAATATTATCCAATCAAATTACTAAAAGTTAGATTTTATCTTCTTAGTTAAAATTTCGTGAAATAGGCCCCTGCTTCTTAAGGATAACCCAGGAAAACCAGCAAAAATTACACATAACTATTGTCAAATTATCCATCAAATTCTATCTGTTTATTGACCTATGGTTGGTAGACCAAATAAGGTAATGTTCTCCCCTATGGTCTTGGGAAATGGGGAGATTTATTCTATATTTGGGACGGAAATTAACGTCAATGTCAATCTAAGACATGCAGAAATTAGGGGGTTATAGAGGCGGGTGTTGAGCGAGGCTGGGCAGAGCTCTATTGAGAACAAGGGACCTTCGAAGCCATTCCAGCTTAACAATAAAGTAGTAGGAACCATTTATCCTGTAGTGTTATATATTACGATCACGAAGAAAACAAACACAACAAGGAAGTCTGATAGTACTATAGCGTAACAAGGAATTTTGAACAGCGGGGTTCCAATACAAAGTCAAGAGCAGAAGCATGGGGACAATATTTCTGCTAATGTAGGTTGAGACATGTATAGGATTAATGTGGTGTGAGCCAAACCGGTGTTATTTCAATAAATGTAGGGGAGAAAATATATTCTCTGCACCAGCAAACATTGGTCTTTAAGCCGACTCTTCATCAAATTCCATCCACAAGGAATATTTTTTTTCGTATTCTGTGGCATCTGAACGACTGGAATTGATATGGGTAATCAATGCTGGAATATTCTGGAGGAAATTTCTTGGCCAACACCAGGATCTTATTAACTGAGCCACCGTGGCTCTGACCATAATGCTAAAACTCTAGTATGAGCAGATCAAAGGATTTTATTTAAAGATACATTATGGGAGACAAGATAAAGAGCTGGCAGTTCTCACTATGATAGTTAAAATCTAGATAATGTAAAGGTAATTTGCTGACAATTTCAGTCAAATTGATCCACTATGAACAGAGAATTAAGTGATTGAAATTTTGGCCTAGCCTCGGTCATCATTACTAAAGTCTGTACGATAAAAAAAACATAGTCTCGATTATCCATTTCATGATTAAATTATGAATGGAAGTCAGGCAGCAAATGGAATCATAATCCAGTAAATATTGCAGGCTAGTGATGCCATCGAGAGTTGATTATGGTCTTAGTAAGTTAAATAATGTCTAATTGATAGTTTATATTTCAGGCCCAAAGAAAAACCTGCAATAGGCAGATTTAGCTCTTACATAGTGTATGTTTAATAGGCTACTGGTCAAACCGAAACAGCTGTTCCTTAGACTGCCTCAAAACATCGGAGATATGTGAATAACTTTCCTATTATAGGACCATTTACTAATTCTAATGGGTACAACAGGCTGTGCACACGACCAAGCGGTCTAAGGAGCCATAGTTAAAGGAGCTAAATCGCTAATATTTGGGACCTAGAAATTGACACAAATGGGTCGCAACGTATATAATAATGTAATATGAATGTAAATAAACTGATTTACATTCAATCGTTTCCGTTTTTACTCTAATTTCAAAGCAGTTATGTTCAGCGAAATACGCCAGAAGTCTCAATCGAATGGCAATCTCTAGCGCCTGGTTATTTCAGTCTACACTGATAGTATTTATTGCACATGCTCTCCAGATAAGAATATGGGGTCACCGTTTGACATGACTTGTGGAATATGTCAAACCTCGTTCTTCCGAGTCGCTTGTTACAAATTGCGCTGAAAGGCACCATGGTACACGATTCGTGTACCAATCGTAAAATGTTTTTTTTGTCATAATTATTGAATATCGGAAGCCCATCTTTTCCCCGGTAAGATCACAACACCAATGTTGATTAAAATTGACAAATAATTCGTGTTTTCATTGTCGAAGGTTTTAGATGATATTGAGTTAGAGACTTAGCTACTTTAAGGTCCTTTGAGGCTCTGTAAGTGCTAATGTGTTAACCCCCTAAATACTACTACTTGTTTTTATATTTCAGGTTCTGATCTGATTGTATCTAAAGGGTTAACCTCTAAATACTACTATTATATTTCAGGTTCTGATCTGATAGTATCTAATGGTGTTATACTGGATTATGAAACAAAAACTTCCTATATTCTTGAGATGCAAGTTTCCGATGGTAAAAGTACTGATAATCAGACATTGACAATAAATATACAAAATGTTGAAGAACCTCCGATGTTCCAACAAACTACTTATACATTAAATATCCCTGAAGCAAAGGTAAACAAAGTAGCTCATTTTGGGACTAACATATGGTTCAAATTTTAATACAATAATTTTCTTGCACGGAGGGGTCTGTAGCAGTCGGAGGGAACAGGAGGACCCGGAGAAAACCCATGGGGTTGAAAAGGCGACTTTACTCCTTGTCACCTATGAGCCGGAATCGAACCACGCCACTTGACTCAATGACAAACCACTAAACTACCCAACCCCTGGGCTTTATGAAAAAAAAGTTATTATTATCATTATTATGAATATATCCATACTATTAAAATATTTTTTTTTCTAATTACAGATGGGTACCGTAGTAATATCACCTCTAACGGCGTACAATGTTAGTGACCCTGAACAGCAGGCCTTGACCTTCACCATAACAGGAACACATGCTGACAAGTTTACGATAGATCCATTGAATGGTGTCATATCGTACGCTGTGGACTATTTCCTTGGAGCGCCAGCCTTTCCTAACTCACTATCACTGACTGTTACTGCTACAGATCCATCGTCCATGTCAGCCAGTGCCACTTTAAACATAGCAATCGACAATCTCAATCAGCCGCCAGAATTTACCAATTTACCAGACAATGCTTCTTTACCAGAAAATGTTGCCATAGCAACCCCTATAATCACGGTCCAAGCCAGCGATCCTGATTCAAACCCCACCACTATAAAATTACTAAATTCATTGCCTACAAATACTTTTTTTGAATTTGACGGTACAAGTAAGTCAGCGTTTGGATATCTCTACTAAGATTGATGTATATTTTTATTCAATCAGATTAAAATACAAATCTTTATTTCCTTTCGGTTTTTATACTTTCGATGGACTACACTACATAAAGATCTGACCAGTTATAGTGGGAGTTCACGTCAGGGGTCAAACAAGCGGCTTTTGATCCTATGATGTCAGTCATTGATTAATCAATTAGCATTGTCGTTTCTAGTGGTTTACCCACAGTTACGTGCATAAAAAGACCAAGAATTCACTGTAACAGACCGTTTCATTGGCTAATTCCTCACATCAACTAGAACCCCTGTTGTGTATAATAAAGACAAGTAAAACGAAATTTTGAACTATAGAAACGAAATAAGATCTGTGTTTTAATCAGATTTATTATTATTATTATTACACAATATTAATATGGGGAGTAGGGGGGGGGGGGTGATCCAATGTTTTAACATGTGCATGAAATCAGAAGGAAATGAAATGAAATGGGGTTTAACGTCCTACTGTTCTGCTCCTATACTGGGCTAATGAAGACGGGCATACGCCATACAGTGTGCTATGAGGGAAATTTTGCCCGGGCAGTGGCACTATCGCCTACTCTTATATCGAATTCCAACTGCCAAGGGATTTTTTACGTGCATTCCATTGTATACACGGGACCTCGGTTTTTCGTCTCATCCGAAGGACTAGACAGCTGTCCTTGTCAGGCCCTCTGTTCTGCACCACTGACAAGGGGGAAACCATGTCGGAAAATCTGGATGAACTTTCTCGGCTAATGCAGGGATCGAACATCCGACCTCCAGGTTAGCGAGCCAGCGTCTTAACCACCTAGCCACGGTCTGTCATTGATTAATAATCTAATGTACATTTGTTAGACCAATTGACCCGATCTGTTTCATCAAAGTATTAAAGCGAGAATTTCAAATTTTCAAGCCTTAAAATAGATGGTATCCATAAACAGTCCTACCTTGTTAAAGAATAATCCTATTAATCCTATAATTCACTATTGCCAGCTGAGAAATTGGCAAAAATATCATTTTTAACTTCAAATTCCAACGTTGGAAAATGGCTGCCCCATGTTGTCAATAGCAAAACAGGGGAGGTAATTGTTTTGTTATTTCCTGTGTCATAGATTTTTAAGGGTGGGAAATAATGCCCATGATCGTATAATAGTGAGTTGATAACCTATTGAGCAAAAGACATAGAAATAATTATGTTTTGACTTTCTTAGAAAATTTGAATTTCTCGCTTTAAGAGGGACGTCTTCTTATAACTCTGTGCAAGATGACTGATTGACCTTTATAAAGTTCATATGCATTTCTTTATGTGATGTCACATAACATGATGTCAATAGCTTGTGAAGTGTTCACATAATGTGAACTGGTTTGAGCCAAATGGTGCCTTTTACTTATTTTATATATCGGGGGGTTGGATGGCCGAATAGTTAGCACGTGAGTGCTATATCATACGGCCTGTCATTGAGTCAACTGGCGTGGTTTCGAATCCCCGGTTGTACGTGACAAGTAGTTGGGTCGCCTGTCCAACACCGTGGGTTTTCTCCGGGTCCTCCGGTTTCCTCCCACTGCTAAAGACCCCTACGCGCAAGCAAATTATGTAAATAAAATTAAAACATATGTTAGTCCCGAAATGACCTAGTTTGTGTCAAGTGGACGTTAAACCCCATTTCTCTCTCTCTCTATTTTATATACCGGTACTCATTTACACTAAATAGGAAATATTTTTATCCAGGTATACTTTATTTATTTCTTTTTCTAGTACTTCAAAAAAATGTTCTAGAATTTCATTTGCATGAGGAAAAAAGTTAATATTGCGAGCGAATTAAGTCGCACCGATGTCATCCCTGTCAGTGATTGTAGTGGCCCAACGAATATTCACTGCTGATTAGTGTGCATTCGACCACCCACCTCCATGGTTAGGTCTAATTATTAAGGTCAACTGCAGGTTTTGTCAAGGTTGCGAGATGTAAATTGGTTATAGCATGTGTTTGTTGACAAGATTAGTAGGCTATGTTAGAGGGTTAGCGCTAGCCTTAATATTTAGACCTACCCACCACCCCACCCCGCACAATTTTGATTGTCTTGACGAGACATTAAAGGAGCTAACTCGCTAATATTCGGGACCTAGAAATTGACCCAAATGGGTCGCAACGCATATAATAATGTAATCTGATTGTATATAAACTGATTTACATTCAATTGTTTCCGTTTTGACTCTAATTTCAAATCAGTTATGTCCATCGAAATACGGCATGAATCTCAACTGAATGGCAATTTCAAGCGTCTGGTTATTCCAGTCTATTGTGCATGCTCTACAGATAAGACATGAGTTGTGGAATATGTCTAGCCTCGTTCTTTCTGATCACTTGTTACCAATGACGCTGAAATGCACTATGGTACACGATTCGTGTACCAATGATAAAATGTTTTTTTTGTCTTAAATATTGGATATCAAAAGCCTACCTTTTCCCAGTAAGATCACAACATCAATGTTGATTTGAATTGACAAATAATTTGTGTTTTCAACGTGTAAGACTTTGGATGATATTGAGTTACAGACTTAGCTACTTTAAAACCCCATTTCTGTAATGTTTTTTTTTTTTACAGATAACATGGTAACAACGAAAACTGCGTTAGACTATGAATCACCAAATAAACAATTTGAATTAACATTTACCGTGGAAGACGCCATGACAACAAGTACCGCAACTCTAACTATTATAATTGAAGATGTCAATGAACCACCAACATTCGCTCAGAACACATTTACCTTAACACTGGAAGAAGGCAACGTAAGTTAAAATTTATTATCAAAATGAAAATGTGAGATAAAATAAGTGCAATGACTGAAAACACTTAAAGATGAAATGAAATGGGGTTTAACATCCTACTGTTCTGCTCTGACTGGGCCCATACAGTGTGCTATGAAGGAAATTTTGCTCGGACAGTGGCTCCACTGTGGCTCCACTGTAGCTAAGCGAGGAAGGCGCTAGCACAATAGCCTGGAGGTCGCGGGTTTGCTCCCGGTGTTAGGCGAGAAAGTTCATTAGAATTTTCCTGCATGGTTTCCCCTTGTCAAACAAGGATCAAACAATCGTTGGGCTAAAGCGAAAACCATCTAATCAGCCCAAACAATTTCTAATGTTCTTTTTTTTCAGATGGGTACTACTGTTTTTGAATCGGCTCAGTACGTCAACGATCCAGAAAAACAACCTTTGAATTACTCCATAACGATAGGAACCGGCTCGGACAACTTCCAGATAGATATGACAACTGGGGTCGTGTCATACGCTGTCAATTACTACCTTGGAGGAACACCAGGTTTACCTGCTTCAGTATCACTGGTTGTTGTTGCTACAGATCACTCGTCACTGACGACCAGTACCACTTTAGATATTACAGTTTCTGATGTGAACCAGCCCCCACAAATCACGAAACCGCCACCAGTTCTTTACGTAAGAGAGAACGTAACCTTGAATACTCTCGTCTACACCATTAATGCTATTGACAATGATGGGGAGACGATCCAGTATGCAGAAATATATACTTGGCCTGAAAATACTGGAATTTTATTTGGTATTGATGCCACAAGTGAGTTTATTTTGACTCTTTTTAACTTTTTCTTTCCAGACCTGGTGGTCTAGCTCAGTAAGCTGGTGATCATATCGACCAATAGAGAAAGAGACGGAAAAAGGGTTTAACGTCCACTCGACACAAACAAGGTCATTTTAGGACTAACATATGGTTCAATTTTATTTCAATAATTCACTTGCGCGTTTGGGTCTGTAGCAGTGAGAGGAAACCGGAGGACCCGGAGAAGGTCCACGAGGTAGGACAGGCAACACTACTCCTTGTCACGTACAAGCAGGGAATGGAAACCACACCAGTTGACTCAATGACAGACCTTATGATACAGCACGCATGTGCTAACCATTCAGCCATCCAACCCCCCTCGACCAACAGAAAATTACCATTACTTAAGGCCAAGTCACTTGCATACATTATGCAAGAGCTAAATCTGCTTATTTCAGTTCTTTCTTTAGGTCTGAAATGTTATAGAAATTATTAATAAGACATTAATTAACTTACCAAGACCATAATCAACTCTCGATGGCATAGGTTTTGTGGTCAAGCGGTTACCATAAGAATGGATAATTAAGTCTTTGTTTATTATCGTAACAATGGTAATAATGACAATTGAGGCTAGACTAAAATTATATCGCTAATATCTAGGCTCAGAGTGAAGTAATTTAACTGAAAGTTTCAACATATTCTCTTTGCATTATCTATTTTGTAACTATTATAGCTAAAACTTTCAGCTCTTTAATCTTACCTAATGCTGCTTTAATAAAAGATTTCAAGAATTACTGCATTAAAAATGTGGATTATGTATTTTTTAACTATCATAGCTACAACTGTCAGCTCTTTATCTATTCTTACCTAATACCATTTTAATAAAAGATTTCACAGAAAGGATTACTGCATTAAAAAACAAAATTAAAAATGTGAATTATGTATTTTTTAACTACAGTATTATAGCTAGAACTGTCAGCTCAAATCTTACATGGGGGAGTGGATGGCTGAATGGTTAGCGTGCGCGCGCTGTATCATAAAGTCTTGTCATTGAGTCAACTGGCGTGGTTTCGAATCCCCAGTTGTACGTGACAAGGAGTAGGGTCGCCTGTCCATCCTTGTGGGTTTTCTCCGGGTCCTCCGGTTTCCTCCCACTGCTAAAGACCCCTAAGCACAAGCGAATTATTGAAATAAAATTAAAACCATATGTTTGTCCCGAAATGACCTAGTTTGTGTTGAGTGGACGTTAAACCCCATTTCTCTCTCTCTCTCAAATCTTACCTAACGCTACTTTAATAAAAGATTTCACAGAAAGAATTACCACATTAAAAAACAAAATTAAAAATATGAATTGTGTATTTTTTTAGATGGTGAGATAAGAACTACATCAGTATTAGATTATGAAGCATCATATAAACAACTACGAATATACTTTACGGCTGCCGATTCCACGTCAACAAGCACATCCAGTTTAACGATCAACATTGTTGATGTTAATGAACCTCCAACATTTAGTCAGGCTTCAGAAACCGTTACAGTTCCTGAAGGAAAGGTCAGTCAATGTTTAATGGTCTTCTTTTCTGCTCTTACTGGGTTAATGAAGACGGGCATGCGCCATACAGTGTGCTATGAGTGAAATTTTGCCCGGGCAGCGGCCCTACAAATGCATTTAATGTCCACTAGACACAAACTACGTCATTTTGGGACTGACATGTGGTTCAATTTTTTTTCCATTATTCGCTTGCGCGTAGGGGTCTTTAGCAGTGGTAGGAAACCTGAGGATCCGGAGAAAACTCACAAGGTTGGGCAGGCGACCCTACTCTTTGTCATGTACAACCGGGGAATCGAAACCATGCCAGTTGACTCAATGACAGACCTTATGATACGACGTACATGCGCTAACTATTCGGCCATATCCCCCCCCCCCCCAAAAAAAACCCATAAGAAATACAGATACATTTATAGTTATATGTGTAAAAATAATTCTTAAAATAAAATAAATACAGTAAAATTTGTATTTTGGGGGAGTTAAAAATTGGGTAAAGGCGATTCATAGATAAACAAGATGAAATGAAATTGGGATTGAAAGTCCTCCTAATCCGAGACAAACGACATGAAATGAAATGGAGTTGAAAGTCCTCCTAATCCGAGATCAACGACCTGAAATGAATTGAAGTTGAAAGTCCTCCTAATCCAAGATGAACAACATGAAATGAAATGGAGTTGAAAGTCCTCCTAATCACATAATGTCAAGAATGGCAACATGCTTCCCAAAATAAGTATCCTCTCATCACTAAATGCCACTAAAGGTTTAATATTGTTTTCATTTAAATTCTAGGCTCAATCTACAATTATACCATCATTACGTGTCTACGTCACGGATCCAGAAAGTCCAACAGAATCCATCACCTTTAGCATAAATCCCAGTAAACATTCCAATAAATTTACAATTGATAGAAATACAGGTTCTTTGGTATATGCTGTGGATTACGATGTCGACGACAGTCAGTTTCCGAGTTCGGTGTCCTTAAGTATCTCTGCTACTGATCCCTTCTTTCTATCCGGAACGGCCACGTTTAATATCAACATAGTCCATGTGAATAATCCACCAATTCTGACCAATTTGCCAAAGAATGTTCTGATTTCCGAAGATGCTGCTTCTGGAACAAGTGTTTTTACAGCTAGTGCTAGGGATGATGATCCAGGAGACACGCTCACGTTCAGTTTAGACAGATCCACATCAACAGTCCTCAGTCTGTTCCAAATAGATCCTACCAGTGAGTATGGTTTTTATCATTAAGAAATCGGGATGGAAATGATTTAAAATGCGTAAGTTTGTGTGAGAGGGAGAAATGTCCACTTGAAACAAACTAGGGCATTTTGGAGCTAACATATGGTTTAATTCTATTTCAATAATTCGCTTCCACATAGGGGTCTTTAGCTGTGGGAGAAAACCCTTGAGGTTGGACAGTGGGGGATAGAAACTATGCAACTTGACTCAGTGACAGACCTTATGATTAAAGCGTATTACACCATTCAGCCACCCAACCACCATCCAGCCATCTGCCCCATGAGAGGGGAGAGACCTTAATGGCCACCCAACAGAAACTAGGTCATTGCAGTATTTATTTACTACAATACAATGTCTTTTAATTAACTTGTTTAATTAATCTATCTTCAGGTGGGGTGATAACGACCAGATCTACCAATGGACAAATGCTGGATTTTGAAACTATGCAAAACAGTCTGAATATAGAAGTTACCGTTAAAGATGGAAGTGGTGATTCCGTCACCAGGACACTGGCTATCACCTTGTCTAATGTCAATGAACCTCCCCAATTCACACCTGCTTTAAGAGTATATAGTGTTTCAGAGGGAAAGGTAGGGTAACAGAGAGGAAGAGAAAGGGGTTTAACGTCCACTTGACACAAACTAGGTCATTTCGGGACTAACATATGGTTCAATTTCATTTCAGTAGTTCATCACTTGCGCATAGGGGTCTTTAGCGGTGGGAGGAAATCGAAGGACCCAGAGAAAACCTGCGAGGTTTGACAGGCGATCCTACTCCTTGTCACGTACAACTGGGGAATCGAAACCACACCAACTGACTCAATGACAGACCGCACTAACCATTCGGCCATCCACCCCCACATATTAGAAATCCAAAATTATTAAAATCTTTTTTTTTAAAACAAAAATACTGTTTAATTACTTTTCTTATGTTACAAAAAAACAACTTATTTGATTTGGGAAAAAATGAAAGATTGGCTTTGACTTTAAAGGTGCTAAACCTTTTTCATTTCGATCTAAATAAATTAATGTACCGCATTAGAAAAACAAAATTAGTTTTGAATTATTGATTCACTTGTATTCATTATCCAAGATTCAGAAACTATTTATGTATCATATGCAATAGCTTGGATTGGAACTAATGTATGTTTATGAACAATTTCTATCTGTCAATTTGCAGGCTGGAACTCAAGTAACACCAGGTTTCTCATCATCAGTAACAGATCCTGAAGGAGGAACAGTCAACTTTAGACTGGTATCTGGACCCAACTCTGACAAGTTCAGGATAGATCAAACCACAGGAGCCATTAGCTTCGCTAGTGATTATGATGCAGACCCAGCTCGATCCCCAAGCAATGTGAACCTTGTCGTGATGGCTGTTGATTCATCATCTCTAAGTTCTTCTGTCACTGTCAATATTCAGATCCAGAATGTGAACCAGCCACCAAAGTTCACCAATCTTCCACTAAGTGTGTCTGTTCTCGACACAAGTTCTCCTGGCACAGTGATCTTTACTGCTTCTGCATCTGATGAAGACACTGATGATACCCTGTCATTTACCCTTAGTCCAAGATCTGCACTGAATTTAGTTAACTATTTGGACATAAATGTTAGAAGTAGGTTCAAGATTTAGATTTAATACTCCATTGAAAAGGTAGAAGTAGGTTCAATATCTAGAATTAGTTCTCTAGGAACAGTGATCTTTACTGCTTCTGCATCTGATGAAGACACTGATGATACCCTGTCATTCACCCTTAGTCCAAGATCTGCACTGAATTTAGTTAACTATTTGGACATAAATGTTAGAAGTAGGTTCAAGATTTAGATTTAATACTCCATTGAAAAGGTAGATGTAGGTTCAATATCTAGAATTAATTCTCTAGGAACAGTGATCTTTAGTGCTGCTGCATCTGATGAAGACACTGATGTTTCCCGGGTCATTTACCCTCAGTCTAAGATCTGCACTGAATTTTGTCAACTAGTTGGACATAAATGTAAGAAGTAGGTTTGCTATCCAGATTCAGTACTCCATAGATCGCTATTTTGAACTAAATCAGTGTTATTTGCATTGGGCTAAAAGTCCCACACTAATTGACAGCCCTAAATATGTCAATTTCTGGATAAAGCATATTTTGTTGTTACCATGGTGACCAGTAGCTTCGGCCTTATCAATAGCATAACCCCCATTAAACAATTAGGCACACACATACCCCACCCTAACTAATTGATGACCCTAAATACACCACCGAATCAACCTTTTGCTTTAATTTATTTCAGCTGGTGATATAATACTTTTAAATTCTCTAACCTCTGCTGGTTCCAGTTTACAGTATGATATTAAAGTTAGTGATGGTACAGCAACTATACAAGACATACTATCTATAAATATAGTAAACACAGCCGTTGCTACAACTACTATAAATACTGATGTTGCTACCCCAAATACTAATCAGGTAATACACATTACTATAAATACTAATATTACTACACCATATATAGACATTATTATACTATACAAGACATACTATCTATAAACACTGATAGTCCTACACCATATATAAACAATACTATCTATAAATATAGTAAACACAGCTGTTGCTACGACTACTATAAATACTGATGTTACTACACCAAATACTAATCAGGTAATACACATTACTATAAATACTAATATTACTACACCATTTATAGACATTACTATAAATACTGATATTACTATATATAGACCCTACTACATAAATAATGATATTATCAACTCAGGGGCGGATCCAGGAATTTTTGCAGGAGTGGGTTTGTCAGGTTCCTGTTAAGGAAATTTGACAGTTGACTATGCATGATGCTATCATCATAATGATAATATATTATTATTTTTGCATGTTTTTTCAGCCCAGGAATGCAGCAAGTAGTACTGATGATAGTCTTCCAATATCAACTATACTACTTATAGTAGCCATTATAGCCGTGGCATTATTTGCTATTGGAATAGGTGTATACTGTTACAAAACTAAATGTGCACCACCTAAAAAACGACGACGACGACGAGAAGAGAAACGACATCAACCGAAATTGTGAGTAAAATTATATATATAATTAATTATCTCCCTTCTGTCATTTGATTGAGGTCAAAATCAAGTTGGGGGGGGGGGGGTTCTCTGGGCTCATGCGTGACCATGATCCTAAAGCAAAGACGTTGCTTGTTTACTTCACAATTCCCGAATTTATACAGACACGTGAGCAGTAGCGTCTAATCAGAGGTTATGATATCGCGACCTCTACAGAGACCTTTACATTGAATGAACCTTGAACTTTGCAACTCGATTATCACAGGTAGACATTTTAGCTTGAAAGCACGAGACTTGGTATTTGCGACGATCGAGGAATCTGATAGGCTCGAAATTAGTGCCGAAATATGTAGGGTATTACGTGAAAGGCTTGATAAGATGTACGTAGTTAAAGTGAGATCAAACCTTCTATTGAAGATGATGCGTGGCATGATGTTGTGAATCCAGTGTCCTGTGTTGAATTGGGGATGCACAGTGGCTCAGTGGGTAAGACCCGATGGCTGAGAAAAATCATCAGGATTTTTCGGGGTTGTTCCTTCTTGTCAGTCGTACAGGACTGAGGGCCTGGCAAGGAACAATGTATAGTTGTTTGGATGGGATGAAAAACCGAGGTCGCGTGTACACATTAGCATGTAAAAGATCCCTTGGCAGTTGGAATTCTCAGGGCTCATGCGGAGTGTTTAAGGTCCACTCGACACAAACCAGGAAGAGATAGTGTGAGATAGTGGACAAGAAATAGTGAAAAATAGTGGAGAGAGAGAGAGGGAGAGAGAGAGAGAGAGAGAGAGAGGGGGGGTTTAAGGTTCACTGACATAAACTGGGCCATTTTGGGACTAACATATGGTTCAATTTTATTGCAATATTTCGCTAGCGTGTAGGGTTTTTTTAGCAGTTGGAGGAAACCGGAGGACCTTGAAAGAACCCACCAGGTTTGACAGACAATGACAGACATGTGATCAAAAGCGCGCACATTAACCACTCGGCCACCAAACCCCCGCATTGTTATGTGAGGAAAATCCAAAGTTCCTTGTACTTTTTGCGTGCACAGTTGGATATTGACAAGGTGTAAGGGGAAACATGTCTGTCCAGGCAAAATTTCATTAGCTCAGTTAGTGCAGAGAAGTTTGACATTAAACCCCATTTCCTTCATTGTTTGTGTAATTGTGTATCAGCAATCTATTTCTCACAAATGAGAAATTGAGGCCTTTTTATATAATGTTAAAAAAAATTAACGAATCTATATATAAATAAAATCAAAGATGTGTGTATGAATGTATGTGTGTGTGTTCGCCCATCACACTTTGTCCCCGTGATTCTCGCCCACATATATGGTATCAAATTAACCAGCATGACCTTGTGAATGTTTTAGGCCATCGTATTTGGACCCTGGGTGATTTTGGGCACCTGGCAAATTTGGGGCCCCAGGGCGTATTTGGGCCCCAGGAGAATTTGCACCTGCTAGTTATAAATAAACTATAGTTTCTCACTTTTATAAAGAATATAAATTTTAAACTTCATAGTTTTAAAGGTGCATTATGTAAGAGCTAAATCTGCCTGTTGCAGTAGTTGATTGTTTAACGCGATAGCGTGTGCGATCAGTCGAGTCACTCGCTCTGTATCGAGGAGCGACGGTTACTGGCAAAAGAAAAAATTTCAGTTTGTTGGTATTTTTTACCTCCATCCGTATTGAAGTCGAAACGGCGTATAAGACGAATGCCAGATTTCTGCGAAAAGAGTATCGACTTATAACCGGAAAAATAAGGTAATTTTGGAGGAATATTACAGGCGTAACTTTGAAAAAGTTTGGGTCGGCATGCTTTCATTCTGTCGTATTACGGCAACACGTAGTTTTGTAGGAATATTACTGACATAAATTTGAATATCGTACGGGACATAAATAAGAAAAATAATGAGGTGCACCTATTTTTCATTTCGTACGAATTTGAATATTTTTTAACATTATTTTTAATTGTGGCCTGAGCCCGCCTGCTAAAATAACAATAAGAGTTATGTCCCTTTATTTTTGGTAAAAAAATTTTGAAATCCCAACACTGATTGAACACCCGCAAATTTAAAAAATTTAATAACAAAATGGACAATCAAGGCTTTTTCTTGGTTGTCAAGTACAGTTCCTACGATTATAAACAATCTGCACTGATCTTCAAAGAGTGATAACTTCACTCAGAATAAAGTAATTTGAATGAAATTTTAAATATATTCATTTTGCATTACCTATTTTGGAACTATTATAGCAAGAACGGACAGCTCTTTATATAAATCTTACATAATGTATCTTTAAGCAAATAAATTTTATTTATATTTTCAGGTATCAAGTATCACCACGATATGGTCCACCCACACCACGAAATGATGATATTTATAGAGATTATTATTATAATTATTCATAAATTACTTACTTTCTTAATTGTACAGAATATTATGTTTATACATGTAATATATTTATTGTTTTTTTTCGCTAACCCTTTAGCACTTAGCCTGCCCAAATTAGGACTTCTTAGACTGCCCCAAAATGCCCTGTCACATCCACAGCTGTGGCGCCCTTATGAACTAGTAGTAGTAATACTGAAACCCTTCAGCACTTAGCCCACCCAAAACGCTCTGTCACATCCACAGCTGTGACACCCTTATGAACTAGTAATACTGAAACCCTTCAGCACTTAGCCCACCCAAATTAGGGCTCCTTAGACTGCCCCAAAATGCCCTGTCACATCCACAGCTGTGGTGTCCTTATGAACTAGTAATACTGAAATCCTTTAGCAATTAGTCCGCCAAAATTAGGGCTCCTTAGACCGCCCCCAAAACGTCCTGTCACATTGACAGCTGTGACGCCCTTAGTAATACTGAAACCCTTCAGCACTTAGCCCACCCAAATTAGAGCTTCTTAGACTGCCCCAAAACACCCGGTCACATCCACAGCTGTGACGCCCATACGAACTAGTAATACTGAAACCCTTCAGCACTTAGCCCACCCAAATTAGAGCTTCTTAGACTGCCCCAAAACACCCGGTCACATCCACAGCTGTGACGCCCATACGAACTAGTAATACGGAAAGCTATTCACATATCACAGACGGTTCGAGTGAGAGAGATAAATGGGGTCCACTCGACACAAACTAGGTCATTTCGAGACTAACATATGGTTCAATTTTATTTCCATAAATCACTGGCACATAGGGGTCTTTAGTAGTGGGAGGAAACCAGAGGACCCGGAGAAAACCCACGAGGTTGGACAGGCTACCCCACTTCTTGTCCAGACGGTTTGAGGCAGTCTAAGGAACAGCAGACTGGACTGTTTTGATCTGTTCCGGGATGTACTGGTGTTAATATATCACTTTTCTCTAGTTTTTTTTTTCAAGGAGTAGTCAATATATACAAGTACATATACCAACATCCTCGGTATTCCCAGTGGTCTCATTCTGTTCCACTCCCCTAACCCCTGGATTCAACCATGGGGGCGACATGTATTCAAATTACCTGCTATGGATAACTGTGCTATTTTTAGCGACCAATCAAAAAAATCGCTAAATACAAAGGAAGGGAAGTAACTATTATCTTGTTGCAACAAAGAAGGCTAAGACTGGTTTGTAAACTGATTTTTGATTGGGTCGTAGAATCAAGCTACAATCAAGGGCAGATAATTTAAATACGTGAACCCAGGGTATAGTGGAGTAGAACGGAATGAGACCCCTGGGGAAACCGAGAATGATGTAGGCCTACCAAGTGCTAAAGGATTAATCTTGTACGGGTAAACCCAGATTTATTTTAGACAACTGTATAAAAATATCTCTGTTATTTTCTAAATAAATATTTAATAATTACTTACCATGTCTTTATCTGTTCAAGCCTATTCTTACAACTCATTAACTCACACATGGGTAACCCAAGTCGGCTGGGAGCCATGGTGGCTCAGCGAGCAAGACGTTGGCTCGCTAACCTAGAGGTCCCGTGTTCGATCCTTACTTTGGCCGAGAAAGTTCATCAGGATTTTCCAGCGTGGTTCTACCTTGTCAGTGATGCAGGACGGAGGGCCTGGCAAGGGACAACATAGTTTTTTGGATGGGATAAAAAACCTACGACCCGTGTACACATTGGCATGCACTGAAAAGATCCCTTGGCAGTTGGAATTCGATATAAGAGTAAAAATTTCACTGCACACTGTATGGCGTATGCCCATCTTCATTACCCTTCGGAGTAGAACAGAAGGATGTTAAACCCCATTTCATTTCATTGTATTTCCAAGTCGGCCATTATATGTTAAAAATTGACATTAAGGTCTGTCATTGAGTGAACTCGCGTGGTTTGATAGCCCAGTTGTACGTGACAAGGAGTAGGGTCGCCAGTCCAACCTCGTGGGTTTTCTCCGGTTTCCTTCCACTGCTAAAGAACCCTACGCGCAAGTGAATTATTGAAATAAAATTAAACCATACGTTAGTCCCGAAATGAACTATTTTGTGTCGAGTGGATGTTAAACCCCATTTCTCTCTCTCTCTCTCTCTCTTTGGTATGTAGACTATATGCCTAATATTCAGAGAGCGAGAGAGAAATAGATTTTGATGTAGTGGGAGGAAACCGAAAGACCCAGAGAAAACCCACAAGGTTAGATAGGCGACCCTACTCCTTGTCATGTACAATTGTGGAATCTAAACCCTGCAACAACCCAACCCCCAACAAATCTTTAGAAAACCATCACACATTACAATCAAACCCATGAACAAGACACACCACACTACAAACAAGGAGAGCTAGAAATTGGGTTTAACGTCCACTCGACACAAACTAGGTCATTTCGGGACTAACATATGGTTCAATTGCATTTCAATAATTCGCTTGCTCGTAGGGGTATTTAGCAGTTGAGGAAACCGGAGGATCCTGAGAAAACCCACGAGGTTGGACAGGTGACCCTACTCTTTGTCATGTACAAACGGGGAATGGAAACCACAGTTGACTCAATGACTTATCTTCTGGTCCAACCATTAACCATTCGGCCATACACCCCCGCCCTGCCCCCCAACCCTGCCTCTGATCATGGAGATAATTATTTGATGAATTGTCTAAAAACAATCACCCATAATTGTAATCTACTGCAGCAATGACTAATAAACTGTTGAATTAGGAGAGAGAGAAATGGGGTTTAATGTGCACTCGACACAAAGTAGTTCATTTCAGGACTAACATATGGTTCAATTATATTTCAATAATTCGCTTGTGCGTAGGAATCTATAGCAGTGGGACAGAACTGTAGGACCCAGGACAAACAAACGAGATTAGACAGTGAATCCTACTTCTTGTAACGTAGGACAAGCTTGGAATCGAAACCACACCACTTGTCTCAATGATAGACCTATTGATCTAAAGCACTCGCGTTAACCATTCCCCCCCCCCTTCCATTGAATTAGGAATACACCTATAGGAGTAAAAATCAAATAACAAGAATTGTATATAAAATGTTTTTTATCTACATGTATATATAGTGTATAATATATATATATATATATATAAGAATAATTGTATAATATATATATACGTCTAAACAGAACTAATGACAGACAATTGATTAACTTTTAAAGTAAACTTAATAAAAATTACAATATATTTCATGCAAACTAAGCACTTACATTACATTTTTATAAAAAAAAAAAATAAACTACTTTGTTTTAAGGCTGTATCAAGGCCATTCTATATCAGATTAAACCAGATCCCCAAAAAATCTTGTTTTGCAGATTGTGAGAGTTATTTCCCTTTAACCAATTGTGGTGTAAGATTAGTGGATAAATCACCAAATGTAAAGAGAGAGAAATGGGGTTTAACGTCCACTCGACACAAACCAGGTCATTTTGCGACTAACATATGGTTCAATTTTATTTCAAAAGTTTTACTTGCACGTAGGAGTCATTAGCAGTGGGAGGAAAACGGAGGAGCCACAAGGTTGGATCACCAAAAATAAATGGGACTTAAAGGGCCTGTCTCACTGTACAAATTAGGAATCGAAACCAAAGCACTCGATTTATAGACAGAGAGTGAGAGAGAGAAATGGGTTTCAACGTCCACTTGACACAAACTAGGTCATTTCGGGACTAACATATGGTTTATTTTTTTTAATTTATTTCAATAATTCGCTTGCGCGTAGGGGTCTTTAGCAATGGGAGGAAACCAGAGGACCCAGAGAAAACCCACGAGGTTGGACAGGCGACCCTTCTCTTTGTCACATACTTATTGACAGACCTTATGATCCAACGTGCACACGTTAAACCATTTGGCCATCCAACCCCCGGCAACTGTAAAACAAGATTAATTTGGATCTAACCTTATTAAAATTTCTAATTTCACTATGTAAGAAATAGAGTATGTCTTAATTACGTGTCATTAAAGAATTAACTAATCAAAATAAACACAACAGTTCTATGGATAACAATTACTGTATTTCTATTAAAGCTACGTTTCAACAATTGTGCATGATAACGACAAGAGAATATGTAGCTTTAATAGAAATACAGTAATTGTTATCCAGAGAGAGAGAGAGAGAGAGAGAGAGAGAAATGGGTTTTAAAGTCCACTCGACACAGACTAGGTCATTTTGGGACTAACATGGTTCAATTTCATTTCCATAATTCGCTTGCGCGTAGGGGTCTTTAGCAGTGGGAGGAAACCGGAGGACCCACAGAAAACCCACTAGGTTGGACAGGCGACCCTACTCCTTGTCACGTACAACCAGGGCATCGAAACCACACCAGTTGACTCAATGACAGAATTTATGATACAGCGCGCATGTGCTAACCATTCAGCCATCCAACTCCCCTTGTTATCCACAGAACTGTTGTGTTTATTTTAATGTGTTCAATTACTAAATGCCATTCAAACAGTAAATTTATTAATCATGGAATGAGAAAAGGAAGATTAAACAGGAATGCTAAATAATATACAAGATCAAAAATTCAACAACAGTTTGAAATTTCTTGGAAACTTCAAAAGGAAGATCGTTTTAAATTTGGAAAAAAATTGAATTTTTGTGAGAAAATAACAAGTGAAACTGTTTCAATTTTTTAATTTTAGAGGCACATTTGTTTACGACTAAAAAGATTTGTTGAGAAAATTGCGAGAAACCAAATCTTATTGATAAATTAATTTCAATGACAACAAACCAATTATTTTTTTGCTTAGTTTGTACCAAATAGGCTGGGTTTCTTATTAATATGGCCATTCATTTTTAAATAATTATTTATCTTAACCAAGAAAACAACCCAACAGCAACACTATATTGTAATTGAAAAGTTGTAAACGAATATGTTCCTTAACGTCATAAAACTTTAGGCTTAAAGATACGCTCCCGCTTACAAACTGGGTGATTTGATGATGTATTTGGAATAAAAACATATTCAAATTATAATTATTCTATCAAAATTTTGCTTCAAATCCTTCTCCAAGCAGTTTTCGCGAGGGAACACCCCTACTATAAAAAAAAACTATTTAAAGAAGTCACGTTTGTGTTACGTGACTTAGATGATGCACTACCTAGCAACGGGTGCAAAGCCGGAGGAGAATTCATTGCATACACAAGACGATTTAGTCTTTAATCGCTATCAATAATTCATAAATATCGAAGTCTAATTAAATTCTCAGATTATCCACTGCCCACATCTTTTTTTGTGGTTTTTATCTCAAAAAGTGTTGTACGTTTAACTCTTCATCAAGTTTATCAACATATACATCAAGCGCTCAATCTTCGCGTGCTACCTTTGACGTGACGTGAGCAGACATTCCTAATCGTCTGGCTGCCAATTAGGGAAACCCTTACATTTTTGTACTGTGTGCGTTCCATGGGTGTTTTTCAGGAAATTCAGTATTTTTCTAGTAAGATTGGATATTTCTACTTTCCATATATACCAAAATTGCCATACTTTTATTGGAAATAACCACCCGATAAATACTTTTCTGGGAAAGTATTTTTAACTAAAGCAACAAATATGTACCTTAAGGTCATAAAACTTTAGAATTAAATAAAGCAAAGCTGGTAAAGGAATAAAATTTGCCCTCCCTTGATAACATGAAGATGAATCTAACAATATCATAAAATATTTAATTTATGATGAATATATAATATGAAATGATATGTCACACGAGTAAATATGAAATCTGGCATAAAAACAATAATTATAATAACATAAATGATCATGCTATCATGACAATATTTGACAGAGTTGTTGCCCTTTAATAAATTTAAAATGCTTATTTACATACATGTAAGTTTTCATATAATAATCTTTATGCAGATTGCAAATTACATGTACATTGAATATATTATGCGGACATCGACTAATAACACGTACATATATATATATATATATACATCATTTCTGGACTCAGACCAAAAACAATTTTATAAATAAGAACTTTCACAACTCTATTACAAAGTAAAAGTAGAAACTAGATAAGCAGGACAAATGTAAGTTTATTCATGTTTAGGATTGTTTCATTCTTGAATCAAGCTGACAAAACCAGGGCTTTTACTTCAAATGTTTGTCAGTCGTTCCCGTTAACATTAAGATTAAATAGATTGTCTTTTGTTTTTTTCAAAGAATATGACAATTTATAGCACTATTTAAATTTTTTTTATAGATATTTTAAAGTGTTTTTACACATAAATATTATAAATTAAACTGTATTTACTGTGTTATAAATTTAAATTCTTTGAACAACAGACAAATTCCCAAGCTGGACAATTTCACTGTCTTTTAGTCAAAGTTGATTAATATGTCTGAATTTAAAGCCCTGTACTAAACACTTCCCACAGAGGACAGAATTGCTATTTCATTAAATACAG